TTACCATAATAATAATCCCTGCATTTGACATAGCGTCTAATCACGTCTTCGAGACGTCTCAAAGAGCTTCACAGAATATACTGTATAGTGAATTGACTGTATATTTTGTGGGCGAAATGCGGCAGCCAATTGCGCACAATGGTGTCCCACAAACATGTGCAAAGTTTTGCCCTGACTGGGAATTGAACCCAGGGCCTCTTACTTGGAAAGTTTTCTAACCATTAGCTCAGTGGTTATAGCACTCGCTTTGCAAGTGAGACCTGGGTTTGTTTCCTGGCAGGGGGTGAAACCTTGGGCAAGTTTCCTTACTCCACATACCTGATAATAATCCCTCAAAAAAAAATTGCTCATTTTCAATCCAGGACTGTAGTGGGACTCTGCTGTGCGCAATTGGCTGCTGAGTTTCGCCCACAAAATATACAGTCAATTCACTTTACCGTCTATTCTGTGAAGCGCTTTGAGACGTCAAACATTGTTGAGGCAAAGACCTATTACCATCATTTCTTATAAAAGTGAAATAGGGAAATGCCTAAAAAAGAAGAAAACTGAAGGGTGTGGGGAAGCGAGCACAAGTGAGATTAAATGCAGTGACTCATTGCAGATGTGATGACAGAACAGTCAGTTCCATATTGGAGTCCTGTAGCTCAATGGTGAGAGCACTCGCCTCACAAGTGAGAGACCTGGGTTTGATTCCCGGGCACGGCGAAACGTTGGGCAAGTTTCCTTACTCCACACACACACACACACACACCTCTGCTTACCAGCAGTGAGTTGGAACCCGGTTATTAGGTGATTGGTGGATTGCTTTTCCGGGTGTAATAATCCCTTAAATAATCCCTTTCGCCCACAAATATACGGTTAATTCACTTCACAGTTTATTCTGTGAAGCGCTTTGAGACGTCGATAAGACGTCAAAAGTGTTAGATCAAATGCAAGGATTATTATTATATTATTATTAAAAAAAATCAGAGGATGGTTGTGTGTGAGCGCCATCATTTTCCTGGCAGATAATGATCCGTCGCCATGTTCGGTGACATCTTCCGTAACATCTTTCACAGCTGGTTTCAGCTCCTGCGTAGTCGCATCTCACTGTTTTGTAATGGGGGTAACAGGACTTTGTGGACAGCTTGTAGAATTAAACAGCACCACCCCCTGGCAACACCTCAAAATAGCAAAATGGTTCTATTTGAGATGATAACAACAACAACAACTTGGGTTTATATAGCGCCCTCCATGCCGGACGGCGTCTCAGAGCCAGGATGGGGTGCTGTTTGAATATTTAATGCTCTAAAATAGAACACAAGATACCAATGACCTCAACAAATCTATATTGGATTTGATATGGCGCCTGTGATAAAATATGGGAGTGCTTTAGAGTCATTACCGTTAAGTATAGTCATTGTGTATTTCCAAGCAAATGCAATCATGTTCTCCAAACAGCCAGAAAAACCAAACTAACTGAAGGATTGTTGACCAGGGCCCCAGGAGTAGCTCTCCTCTCTCTTTTCGACGGTCACGATTTCAGTCTTACATTTCATCTGAAAGGTGGCCCTGCCAACGATACAGGGCTCCCCCAACTTACACTGGAATCTCACCCTGAACCTCCAATCAAAATACCTGATAGAAATCCATCATCAGAATAATCCTTGCATTTGATATGATGCCTTATCATGTCTTTGAGACGTCTCAAAGCGCTTCACAGAATGTACTGTAAAGTGAATTGAATGTGTGTTTGTAGGGGGAAATAAATTTATAGAACAGAAGAAGGCCATTTGGCCTATTGTCTCTGTGCAATCATTTCAGTTCCATTTTCCTGTCCTTTCCCCCATACCCTTGTAGTTTACTCCTACTTATATATCTGTCTAGTCCCCTTTTGAAAGCTCGTACGAATCCAACCACTGCTGCCAGCATGTGCCAGCATATGTGTGTGAAAACAATCTTATAATCTCCCAATTTGCAAGCTATCTTAAATTGATGTTGGACTTGAACCACAGCCTTCTGTGCTACCAACAGAGCCAGGCTTAGACTAAGTCTTATTCCTTGTACTTGAGCTGTGACTTCTTGCTTTATATCCTTCTACCAGTCAACAACAACAACAAATTACATTTACACAGCGCGTTTCATGTCGGGAAGACGTTCACTGCATTTAATCTCGCTTTCGTGCTTGCTTCCCCCACACCCTTAACTTTTTTTCTTTTTCAAGCATCTCCTTTTAGTCCAGTCCCATGTGCTGGACAGTCAAGGATTTGAACCCGAGCAGGGGGTTGAGATCAGGAGGGGTGGAGGGTAGGGAGGGTAGGGTCAAGAAGGTAACCAAAGGCACGGGTAAAGAGAAGGGTCGAGATGTACCTTGAACGAGGCCAGGGAGGGAGCGAGGCAAAGAGACTGTGGGATGGAGTTCTGAAGGGTGGGGGCAGAGCTCAGAGCTTCTCCCTTACATGGCAATGCTCGGAATCAGGGCCCTTCCCCTCGCTCTCTTTTGAAAGCTAAAGGTGTCTCACAAGCAGGTGACTGGGAGATTAGAGACAGTTTAGCAACAGGTCGACACCCAGATGCCGTTGTGACAGTTTACGAGGAGTTTCCAGGCCTCTTGCCTGGAATTGCCTCTGCACAGTGAAAGGCAGTCTCCAGGTTTCCACTGACTCAGAGGCTGCTCCCTCACTGCTCAGGACACAATAATTTTTTACTTTAGTTGTTTGTGCTGGGCTTTTGCTAAGCGTGCTTCACTTCTGTATCCAGTAGCAGCTACAGCACAGGTTAGATACAGAGAAAGCTCCCTCTACACTCTCTATCCAGCACTTCCTATTGCTCTGCTCTATCCTCACACATGCCTATTTCTCTGACCTGTTCATACCTTACTCCTCTGCTAACCCCAGCAGGCTGTGCGCCCCTCAACCCCACTATTAGTGGCCAAGCCTTCAGTCATTCCGCATCCAACCTCTGGAACTCCCTGCCTCTCTCTCTCTCTCTCTCTTCCTAACCATCGATCGATCTGAGATCCATCGATCTATCTGGGATCAATCGATCTACCAATCTATCCCACGGGAAAACCTATCTTTTTGACTGAACGTACATTCACTTCCCTCTCCCCTTCCTCCTCGCTTAACGTCCAACCCCACCATCTTATAGCGCTCTATCAAGGCATATGGGGCAAAGGCGGGTAATTGGAGTTGAGGTACAGATCAGCTATGATCTTATAGAATGGCGGAACAGGCTCTAGGGGCTGAATGGCCTCCTCTTGTTCCTATGTTCCTATGCTCTAGAAACACTATTTGACTTGAATGCAAATGATATAAATGCAAATTGCTGTTGTAAGACCGTGTCTCAAGACTAAGACCATGAGAAATGTCAGGTCTCAGTTCCCTGGCAGGTGAGATACAATACGTACCACTGTATTGGGAGCTGTGATTGATCAGCAGTGTATGGAGCAGTCACACTCCTTTTGGCTCCAGGATCTGTAAATGAATTGGTCTTCGCCTGGATTTTGCTTCACAAAAATTTTGAATTATGGAATGTCAGTTCCTGCACATGTTCAGGGCCCGACAGGAAACAGGCAGTGATTGCAGTAGTTAGAGCACTTGCCTCGCAAGCGAGATGTCCTGGGTTCGATTCCCGGCAGGGCAAAGTTGAGAGGGGGAGGCAGGACAAGGAAGACAAAGAAGACAAAAAAAAGACAAAGGAGAGAATGTGTTAGTTGCCTCCCCCCCTCTCAACTTGTCCTTAAAAACCTATCCCTCCCAACATGCCCCAGTTCTGACGAAGGGTCGTGGACCCCGAAACGTTGACTCACTTTCCTTTCCATAGCGGATGACCTGCTGAGTTTTCCAGCTCTCTCTGTTTTTATTTATTATTATTAAGGATCTTGATGTACCGCGATAGTTGGTTTATTGTATCCACTGAGTCTTTCCAGCTCGGCTGGGTGGGCTGCACTGGTGCCTTGCCTTAGTGCCCTGCCCTGGTGCCCTGCCCTGGTGCCCTAAACTGGCATCATTCACTTGTCGCCTGCACTGGTGCCTTTTGCTGCTGCTCTGCCCTGGTGCCCCTCCTCCCAGCTCCCAGAGATTATTGAGAGATTAGATTTTACCTGTAATGTCTCCAACCCTAACATTCACACTGACACTCTGCCACATTAAGATTTCTGTTCATTTGGGAAGTGTCTCTGCAAAATCAGATTACAGAAACAAATGAGTCATTTAAGATCTGTAACACCTGGTACATTAGATTTGCATATAGTAGTTATATTTTTGTCATCCATTCCCAGAAATACTTTGCCAATCTATTTGCAGGAAATCCAAGCACCACGGTCAAATGTTATGCAGGTTGCTTCATTCAAATAGTGGCGGCAAAATGTAAAGACAAGCCTAGTGTACTTTTACTAGGACTTTTTTACTGAATGTGTATCAGCGCCTTGGGATGTCCTCCTGACGTGAAAGACGCTATATAAATTTACTTTTGTTGTTGTTGTATTGTCTTTAAGGACTATTAGTCTTAATAGTGGAGTCCTGTAGCTCAGTGGTTAGAGCACTCGCTTTGCAAGTGAGAGACCTGAGTTCAATTCCAGGCAGAGGGCGAAACCTTGGGCAAGTTTCCTCACTCCACACAGAGCCTAATAATAATCCTCCAAAACCAAAAACAATAATAAATTGGTCATTTTTAATCTACGACGGTTTGTGGGACATTGCTGTGCGCAATTGGCTGCTGCGTTCGCTCACAAATATACAGTCAATTCACTTTACAGTATATTCTGTGAAGCGCTTTGGGACGATCTCCTGACGTGAAAAGCGCTATATCAAATGCAAGGATTATTATTATTATTATTATTATTACTACAATAGAGAGGGGAGTTTCTGTTCAGTGTTGCCTGACCAACAATCCCCCAACTTAATTACTCATTCACTTCATGGCCATTTGTTGGCATAGCCGTGTGCACAAATTGCATAGTATACATTGCAGAGAAAGTGAAACAAGAAAAAAAATTAAGCTCAGGCTCCACCCTCTTCCCAGCGAAACGTTCAGTCAGAAGTGACCTTTCTTCCAGATCTCACAGGAGAGAGCAATTGTTTCACCACAATGGCAGATTCACATTCATTTGAAAAACAGACCAAATGTCTCATGGATATCCTTCTGCAGGAGGAATTGGAAGTGGATAGTGGTAACCTGTGCTTTCGCAGTATGCAAACAGAGCTCACAGAAGAAGGTATGTGACCAGCTGGCGAGGGGCACCGACAGACTGAGACCTGACTGTGCACTCAGTGAGACTCAGGCACATAACAGTGTCATAGGATCTTTAACATCAACCTGACAGACGGACAGAGAGACAGACAGAGACAGTCAGACACTCAGTTTAATGTCCCTGCTGAAAAAACTGGAGTTTGAGAATCAGACGTCTCTCAGTACTATCTGACGAGAAGCAGGAAACGTCTGTCCAGCAGCTCTTTAGTGAATATCTTGACGTCTTGTACTTGATCCTTACCCCACCCCCTCGACTACTCCGATGCTCTCCTCAGCTACACGAGCCATGAATCATAATTCATTGAGAACTCCCCCACCCGTATTCTCACCCACACTAAACTGCGTACCCCCATCACACCTGTCCACATCAGACTCCATTGCCTATCACAGAATGGATCGATTTCAAGATCCTTCACCGTTGGCAATCAGGCTTTCACCCAGTACACCTCGACTCTTTGGAACTCTCTCTCTTGCTCCTTTAGAGGTGGATATTTACTTGTTAGATCATTGAAGTTGAGGTACAGATCAGTCATGATCTTATCCAATAGCGGAACAGGCTTGAGGGGCTGAATGGCCTCCTCCTGTTCCTATGCCCTCCCTTTATCTGCTGCCATCTATTTTATAGCTTTGCTTTCTCCTGCTTTCAGTTTAACTTTATGAGTTTCATGTTCCTGTAAGCACAATCATCATGGAAGGTCTTTAGGCGAGATTTGAAGGTGGGGAGGAAGGGGGAAAGCCAGAGGGATTGAGAGAGGGCGTTCCAAAGCTTTGGGGCACAGTGGCTGAAAGCACAGCAGCCGATCGTGGAGCAGAGGGGGCGAGGGACAAACAGGGGTCCGGAGCCGGCCAAGAGAGTAGGCAGAGGGTGGTGGAACGGGGAGTGGGGGGCGGTAAGCAAATCGGATAGGTAGGGAGCTGCAAGGACATGAAGGGAGTTGAAAATGGGTGAGAGGATCTTGAGGTCGATCCGTTTGGTAATTGGGAACCAGTGCGGCCTGGCAAGGACTGGGGTGATGGGAGTCCTGAGTTTTGTGTGGGTTAGTATCCAGACACCGGAATTCTGAATTAATTGAATTTTGTGTATCGTGGAACTGGGAAGACCAGCGAGGGGGGCATTTGAAAGGTCCAGCCGGGAAGTGACAAAGGCGTGGATGAGGGTTTCGGCTGCTGTGGGTGTGAGTTACGGACAGAGGTGGGCAATGCGGTGGAGGTGGTATAAAGCGGTCCTGATCAGGGAACAGATGTGGGGAAGAAAGGAAAGCTGTGGATTGAACCTGACGCCTAAATTGCACACGGGTCACAAGTGAGCGGACCTGGGTTTGATTCTCGGTCAGGGCAATACCTTAGGCAAGTTTCCTTACTCTACATGCCTCTGTTTAAGTGGAAACCCGGTTGTTAGTTGATTGTCGGATCGCTTTTCCGTCGGTAATAATCCCTTAAAAAAAACTAATAATAATTCGGTCACACAATCCATGACAATTGGCTACCACGTTTTGCCCACAAAATGTAGTCAATTCACTTTACAGCATATCTTGTGAAGCGCTTTGAGACGTCTCAACGACATGATAAGGCAATATATCAAATGCAAGGATTGATATTATCATTTTAATCGCTGCTCCACCCGCCCTGGCAGCCAGATTGACAGGCAGATTAACAGGCAGTTATCGGCTGTGTTTCAGAGTGTGCTCTGAAGAATCTGGGACAACAATTGCGAACTTTGGGAGATCAGTTGAATGAGGAGCAGGTGAAATCCTTCACAAAAGAATTTCAGAAAATGATGCAGACGAATGCACTGGACAAGGTAAGTGAAGTTAGAAAAATCATTTGCTCTGTGCTCCGAGATGCTATCCTGCGTGAAGCAACAACAACAACAAGATTCCATTTATAGAGCGCCTTTCACGTCGGGAGGACGTCCCAAAGCGCTGGACAGTTGGGTCAGGACCCGAGCATTGGGGGGGAAATGGTCAGGGTGAGGGGAGGGAAGGGAAGGGAGGGAGCGAGGAGGGGGGAAATGGTCAGGATGAGGGGGGGGAAGGGAGGGAGCGAGCAGGGGGGAAATGGTCAGGATGAGGGGAGGGAAGGAAGGGAGGGAGCGAGGAGGGGGTAGAGAGTCGAGAGGGGAGCTGAAGGCTCGGTCAAAGAGAAAGGTTTTGAGACCGGCCTTGAAGGAGGAAAGGGAGGAAGCGGCGAAGGCACTGGGGGATAGAGTTCCAGAGCCTCGGGGCTGAGAGGCTGAAGGCCCGGCCACCGATGGTAGGGCGGTTGGGGCGGGGGATGTGGAGCAGACCGGAGCCAGAAGAACGGAGGGTACGGGCAGGTAGGTAGGGGGATAGTAGGTTGGAGAGGTAGGAGGGAGCAAGGCCGTGAATTGCCTTGTAGGTGAGGATGAGGATCTTGAATTCGATCCTCTGGGGGATGGGGAGCCAGTGGAGGCGAGCGAGGGTGGGAGTGATGTGGTCACTGGTGCGGGACAGTACACGAGCTGCAGAGTTCTGAATGACCTGCAGTGTGGAGGGAGGGCCGGGAAGGCCGGCGAGGAGAGAGTTCCCATAGTCCAGCCTTGAGGTGATAAAGGTGTGGATCAGAGTTTCAGCCGCGTGAGGGGTGAGGTAGTGCCGTAGTCTGGCGATGTTCCGGAGGTGATGGAAGGCGGTGCCAGTTGTGGTGCGGATATGAGGGAGAAAGGACAGCTCAGGGTCGAACAGAACCCCGAGGTTCCTGATGGCTTTGAGGTGGAGAGTGCGGCCTTGGATGCTGATGCTGTCAGCGCCTGAGGTGCGGAGGCGCTTACGTGAGCCAATCAGGAGGGCCTCAGTTTTACGTACGTTGAGCTGAAGAAAGTTGTCTCTCGTCCAGGACTCGATGTCGGACAGACAGCTGTCAGGACATCGGGGGTCGTGGAGTTGAGGGTAGAGGAGGAAAGGTAGAGTTGGGTGTCATCCGCACACATGCGGAAGTTAACCCCATGTCTGCGGATGATGTCACCACAGGGGGAGCATATAGAGGGTGAAGGGGGGGGACCGAGGGCAGAGCCCTGAGGGACACCGCATGAGACAGTGCGGGGGGTGGAGGAAAAGCCCTTTGTGGAAATAAAATGAAGACAGTGGGAGAGGTATGACTTAAACCACTCAAGGACAGGGCCTTGAAGGTTGAGGTGGGAGGACAAGCGGTGGAGGAGGATAGAATGGTCGACCGTATCAAATGCTGCCGATAGGTCGAGGAGGACGAGGAGGCAGAGGGAGCCCTGGTCACAGATGGTCAGGATATCATTGGTGACCTTGACCAGGGCAGTTTCTGTGCTATGGGCAGCACGGAAACCCGACTGAAGGGGTTCGAATAATAAATGGATGGAGAGGAAAGAGCACAGCTGGGAGGCCACAACTCTTTCAAGGACCTTGGACAGGAAAGGGAGGTTGGAGATGGGCCGGTAGCTTGATAGCTGCGACGCATCAAGGGAGGGAGTTTTCAAAGTGGGAGTGATGGTGGCAGTTTTAAGGAGAATGGGAACAGAACCAGAGGAGAGGGACAGGTTGATGATGTCGGTGATATGTGGGGCAGGAGGTGGAGCTGGGTGATAAGGAGTGGAGTGGGGATGGGCTCAAGGGAGCAGGTGGTGGGTTTCAGGGACAGGATGAGTTTGGTGACAGAGGGTGGGGAAACGGGTACGAAGGTGTGCAGGGGAGGATGGGTAGCAGGCTGTAGAAATGCAAGTTGTTGTTGTAGACAGATCACAGGATGGGTAAGTAAAGCAACCAAGTTCAGTTCAATAAAATGTTCAACAGCCTCTTAGAGCTGCCTCTAATCCAATAATCTTGACCCTTTAAACCCTAAACCCTTTCATCTCCTACCTAATAGCCCCTAACCCAATAAACTTCTGATCCACTAATCCCCTAATTAAATAACCCCTTCACCCCAAACCCACTTGCTCTATTATCCCTTGAATTCATAATCTCTTGACTCATTAAACCCCTGAACTGCTGACCTAACAAAACCTGGTCTGATTTTTTCCCCTCGACTTACTCCTGGAATCACCCGGCTCAGCTGAGATCTGCAAGGTCAGCACAGATCTGGACCTGTTCACGGTTCAGTTCCACGCTGGACATCGCTTTTATTAACCAAAACAGGCAAAGTCACCTGTTTCTTACAGCCTCAATATTTGTATGTGAGGAGCTCATTCAGCTTGGCAAGCCGGTATTACCATTTCTCCCCCTTGTGTCCATATCCCTTAATATATTTACTTGGTAACTGTCTTCACCCACATTCGCCCACAAATATACAGTCAATTCACTTTACAGCATATTCTGTGAAGCGTTTTGATACGTCTCAAAGACGTGAAAAGCGCTATATTAAATGCAAGAATTATTATTATTATTATTATGTCTATCTGTTTCTTTCTTAAGTGCCTCAATTGACCATATTTAGGGATTACTGAGAGAGTTCATTCCATATACTCACAACCTTCTGTATAATGTTTTTTCCCTGAAATCCTCTGTCACCAGTTTAGGTCTAATTGTAAAGTTACACTCTCGAGGTTTAGATTTCTCAACAAGCATAAAAATGAACAGAGCTGGAGAAACTCTTAGTCAGTCATCAATCTGATTTCTTCTTCCTAAGGGCTTCAAAATATTTTCTGACACTGTGAAATCTATCTCCCAAACCTGGGTCAGTGACAAAGATCTGCCAGCTGAGAAAACTCTCCTAAAGATCATGGCATCCCTGGGGATTCAAGCAGCTAAGCAAATGCCCTCTCTTGCTAAGGAGATCAGTGAGGCCATGATGTCCTTCAGCATGACCTCACTGAAGGAATGGGTGACCAGCCAAGGAGGATGGGTAAGCGATCAATGTGCATGAATTTACTGTGCCACAATGGAAGTGATAAAATGGTAGTGCTCTTTATACAGCGCTATAGCAGTATAATGTGTCAACAAGTGACAGCTTGGCTCAGCTGGTAGCACTCTCGCCTCTGGGTCAGAACATGTCTGGTTCACATTGAGTGTGTGTGTATATAGAGTTCACAGTCTAGGCTGACATTCTCGTGCAGGGCAGTGGGAGCGCTGCATTGTTGGATGTGACGTCCTTTGGATGAGCCAAGAAATTGCTGTTTTGGTGGATTTTAAGGATCCCATGGCACAGTTTTTAAAGAGAAGGGAGTTTCTCCTTGTCAACATTCCCTCAGATAAAATAGGTCATTCACCTCACCATTTTTTAATGGAGAATACTATGGCTACAATGCACAGCATAGTATGTGGGTGGGTATAGTGGGTGGAGTCCTGTAACTCAGTGGTTAGAGCACTTGCTTTGCAAGCAAGAGACCTGGGTTTGATTCCCGGCAGGGTGAAACCTTGGGCACGTTTCCTTACTCCACACGACTGATAATAATCCCTCAAGAAAAAAATAATAAATTGGTAATTTTCAATCCACGAGAGACACAGCTGTGCACAATTGGCTGCCGCATTTTGCCCACAAATATACAGTCAATTCACTTTCAATATATTCTGTGAAGCACTTTGAGACATCTAGAAGACGTGAAAAGCGCTATATCAAATGCAGGATTATTATTATACCTGCTGCGTTTGCATACAAATATGCAATCACTGCACCTGACAGTAATTGTCTGTGAAGAACATTGAGTCATTGTATCAAATACAAGGTTTATTAAATTAAAAGACCTCCATAGAAAATCACAGATGGGTTTGGATGAAAAACGAAATTTCAGTCCATTTGATCTCATCCTTCCTGAATGTCCACACCAACGGCTTCTCATGATAGCATCAAAGCTGTTCCTGCCTGAATGGAGACCTTGAATCCAGATTGAGAATTGGGACTGAAGAGGAGTTGGAAAGGTCGTGAGCTTCACTGACTGTTATTTGTGGCATTCAACCTCCCAAGACAGCGTTCCCCACACTTTCTCTATCAGGGCTACCTGCATGTGTTGAGCACAAGGCCATTCTACACCAGAGAGAGTCACTGGATAGTTTGCTCAATGGGTCCCTAGAAATATCTATATCTCTTGGTCATTGCCATTTCCTCTAGTCCCAGGCTCAATGGCTCAGCTCAAGGCTTGCTTCTCTAAATATCCAATGCCTTTCAATAAAAGAACAAAGCTTTGTAAAACCCTGAGAATACATTGGCTTAGTGGTTTGCGCATTCTCCTCGTAAGCAAGAGGACCAGGGTTCGATTCTCCAGCAGAGCAAAACCTTAGGCAAGTTTCCTTACTCCATACGTCTCTGTTTACCTGGAAGTAAATCGAAACCCAGTTGTTAGTCGATTGGTAGATCAGTTTCTAGGGTTAATAATCCCTTAAAAAAATTGTGGTCACTTAATCCAAGACTGTTTGTGTTCGTGCAATTGGCTGCCTCATTTCGCCCACAAAATATACAGTCAATTCATTTTACAGTATATTCTGTGAAGCTCTATGAGCTGCCTCAACGATGTAATAAGGCGCTATATCGAATGCAAGGATTATTATTATGATTATTATACCACTGCATCTCCATCTCTAATAGCCCATGATTTGTCTTTTTTCTTTCATGTCTTGCAGGAGAATATTCATTTGAAGTAAAATTTAAACTGAGCAGTCTCAATGCACCAGGTTACCACACTCTAGCAAAATCTATACCATAATTCCAGGAGGGGCCATCACAAGATAATAATGACAAAAATATTAATAAAAACAATAATAATAACCACCCTACAGGACTCCACATGCAGGAACTTCACCTGATGGACCCCCCCACCCCATTCTCTCCGCTCACTGCCTCCCCATCCCCCTCGCTCAGCCTGGCTCAGCCCCAGCTGATGTTCTCCTCAGTGGAAGCCTCCAGGTTTCAGGTGACTAGCCCGGTGCTGAAACTGTCTCTCAACGTCAAAAGGCTGGCCTTTCCCTAGCACCATGGGCTACCTCAGGTCAGTGTTAGTGAGGTGTCCTAACCAGGCACCACCGTCTCCTGCAGTGGGAGGAGTGTGACTCTGCCCGCCATGTCCCAGGTCAGAGAGACCATCACAGGCATGAAATCAACACTAAAAATTACACCCTGTTTATCTGGGGCCTTAGTAGGCCTTTCACCTGATGTTCTCCACATCTCTACATTGTCAACTCTAATTGATGAGCCCAATGTGCTATTTGCGTTACTGGAGATTATTGACCTTGTCCAGAGAGGCTCCACATACCTCCTCTCAGTCAAGGAGGACATACATTTACTCCCTCCAGAATTTGAATCCTGATACTTCTCATTGGGAGTCGAGTGCTTGGCTGACTCAGCAGCTGCCACAGTGAGGAATCCCACTACAAACCAACAATAAAAAGATTGCTATTCAGCGACCAGATTGTGAGATTTGTATATTTCTGTCTGAGGTTCTTTGTACATTTCCACATTCCATCCCATCAGTAAAGAAATCACTCACTTGGATCATTTATATAACTATGTAATTTCAGTAATTGTGTCAGTAGAGTGGTATGAAACGTGTACTGATGATTTGTAACTGGAAACAACTGTATACAGTATGAGCCAATAAAAACCAACATTCAACCATTTTGTGCCCTTGACACAGGAAGTAGAATCAGAGAATGACACAGCACAGAAGGAGGCCATTCAGCCCATCGTGTCTGTGCCGGCTGTTTGAAAAGAGCTTCCAAATCAACCCCACTCCCCGCGCTCTCCCCATAGCCCTGCAAGCTTGTCCTCCCCAAATAATTATCTAATTCTCTCTTAAAAGTTGTTATCAAATCAGCTTCCACCAGCCTTGCAGGCAATGCATTCCAGATCCCAACAACTCGCTGTGTGAAAACATTTCTCCTCACCCCTGTTCCTTTTAATAACTATTTTAAATTGGTTACTAACCCTCCCACCAGTGGAAATAGTTTCTCCTTGTTCACCCTATCGAATCCCCTCATAATTTGAAAACTTCTATTAAACCTTCTCTGCTCCACGGAGAATAATTCTCGCTTCTCTCGCCTCTCCTGATAACTGAAGCCCCTCATTCCTGGTACCATCCTGGTCAATCTTCTTTGCATCCTCTCCAATACCTTGACATCCTTCCTAAAGTGTGGGGCCCAGAACTGAACCCAGTCTCTCGCTGAGGCCTAACCAGTGTTTTATATAAAGGTTCATCATAACTTCCTGCTTTTGTACTCTCTGCGCCTATTTATAAAGCCTAGTATCCATATGCCTTTTTAACAGCTTTAGCTACCTGTCCTGCCACCTTCAAAAATTTCTCCAGGGTTGGGGTTCAAAGATTTCTTTGAAGGTTTCTCTGTTCCTTCTCCCCCTTTAAGATTGTCCCATCAGCTTATATTGCCTCTCCTCATTCTTCCTCCCAAATTACATCACTTCACATTTCTCCATATTAAACGTAATTTGCCACGTGTCTGCCCATTTCACCAATCTGTCTATGTCCTCTTGCAGTCTGCTACTACCGTCCTTACTGTTTACTACTTTTCCTAGTTTAGTTTACTAGAAACATGGATGTTGTCCTCCCTAAACCCAAGTCTAGGTCATTTATGCAGATTAAAAACAACAACAACAACTAGATTCTATTTATAGAGCACCTTTCACGTCGGGAGGACGTCCCAAGGCGCTGGACAGTTGGGTCAGGACCCGAGCATTGGGGGGAAATGGTCAGGGTGAGGGGAGGGAAGGAAGGGAGGGAGCGAGGAGGGGGTAGAGAGTCGAGAGGGGAGCTAAAGGCACGGTCAAAGAGAAAGGTCTTGAGACCGGCCTTGAAGGAGGAAAGGGAGGAAGCAGCGAAGGCACTGGGGGATGGAGTTCCAGAGCCTCGGGGCTGAGAGGCTGAAGGCCCGGCCACTGATGGTAGGGCGGTTGGGGCGGGGGATGTGGAGCAGACCGGAGCCAGAGGAATGGAGGGTATGGGCAGGTAGGTAGGGGGATAGTAGGTCGGAGAGGTAGGAGGGAGCGAGGCCATGAATGACCTTGTAGGTGAGGATGAGGATCTTGAATTCGATCCTCTGGGGGATGAGGAGCCAGTGGAGGCGAGCGAGGGCGAGGGTGAGGGCGAGGGTGGGAGTGATGTGGTCACTGGTGCGGGACAGTACACGAGCTGCCGAGTTCTGAATGACCTGCAGTGTGGAGGGAGGGCCGGGAAGGCCGGCGAGGAGAGAGTTCCCATAGTCCAGCCTTGAGGTGATAAAGGCGTGGACCAGAGTTTCAGCCGCGATGGCGATGTTTCGGGACCAAAAGAGCAGTGGTCCCAATACTGACCTCTGGGGGACACCACTGCACACTTCCCTCCAGCCAGAAAAACAACCATTCCCCACCACTCTCTGCTCTCTGTCTCCCAGACAGTTCTGTATCCGCTGCCACTGTTCCTTTAATACCGTGGGCTTCTATTTTCCTTACAAGTCTCTTATGTGGCACTTTATCAAACGCCTTTTGAAAATTCATATACATCAACTGCACTACCTTCATCCAAGTGGTTTATACCAAGCTCCCAGCTGACCAGTATTTACAGTGTTCAGTGCGCTTGTAGCCCCCTGCAAATGGCTTGTGGGAGGAAGACTGGCTTTTGGGGAGGAGGGATTTGGCCAGGTGTCTGACACACACCATGTTTATGACTATCTAAACAAAGCTGAGAATTCTACACATCCCACCTACACATGGAAATCCCAGAGATAGACTATTGGAATGGAATGTGCGCTCTCTCTCTCCCTAAATCCAGAGAGTATTAGGCGCAGGTTGGCAAGAGTCAAGGCTTGGGGACCCCAGAGTGTAGAGTGTGGGGAGGGGGAACGGGGAGGTGGGGGTGGGGAGAAGGTGAGCGAGATCCTTTTTGGGTCGTCAGCCTGAACCCACGAGTTGGCCTGAGAGTGTTTCAGTAAAGATTCTTTCATAAGAGTTGCTCTGTTAATAACTGAATGAATGACCAGAGAAGAAGACATGAAGAGCAGACTGTGAAAGGTGGGTTAACGTTCAACAAGTAACAAACTCGCACACTGCCAGCATTTCTCTTAAAAGTCTCTGATTGTTTCGGAATCTGGGAGCAACACGAGAGCAACACTTTCACGTAAACCTGACTCCAAGTCGCTAAAATTCCTGCCAAGAGTTCCATGGCTCCTTGGGACTCATTCCTTCACTTCCTGCCGTCAACAGTGAAATACTAAATACATTGATTTCACTGATTTCACACACAGTGAAGCAGATATCAGTGTGAGACACAGATTTTAAATGGTTGTGTGCCTTTGCATGTGGGAATGTCAGTCGGGAATCCATTCTATATGTATGTGGAGTCCTGCAGTGTAGTGGTAAGAGGATTCGCCTTGCAAATGAGAGGATCCAGGTTCGATTCCCGGGTGGGGCGAAAAGTTAGGCAAGTTTCCTTACTCCACACGCCTCTATTTATCCAGCAGTAAGTGGGAATCTGGTTCTTAGTTGATTGCTGGATCGCGTTCCTGGTAATAATTCCTAAAACAAAATTCACGACTGTTTGAGGGGCACTGCTGTGCTTAATTGGCTGCCACATTTTGTCCACAAATTACAGTCAATCCACTTTACGAAATATTCTGTGAAGCGCTTCAACAACATGATAAGGGCTATATCAAATGCTAGGATTATTCTTAAATAGGTAGAAGAAAGGGAACTCGACGCCAATGTAAGAACAAGGATTCGCTGCTTCGGGTATGTATAATAATATATAATCCTTGCATTCGATACAGCACCTTATCACATCTTTGAGACGTCTCAAAGCACTTCACAGAATATACTATAAAGTGAATTGACTGTTTACTTGTTGCTGAAAATGTGGCAGCCAATTGAGCACAGCAGGTCCCACAAGCAGTGGATTGAAGTGAACAATTTTTTTAAGGTATTATAACCCCCAGAAAAGCGATTGCCAATCAACTAACAACCGGGTTCCTGCAAGGTAAACAGACGCGTGTGGAGTAAGGAAACATGCCCGGTAATCAAACCTGGGTCCTTTTGCTTGCGAGACGAGCGCACTAACCACTACACTAACTGGGGACCAAAATCCAACCAAGTGTTTCACTTACAACTAATTTGTGCTAAAACATAAGAAATGCAGAATTATGGAACTTTCTTCAATTCAGTCTCTATCTGAAAACCGGTTCCTCTTAAAAAAAGATGACTGAAAACAGTTTCTAAATTAAGGTCGAATGTAAGAATTTTCCATAATCTTAAATGTTAAGAGAAAATGATCAACGACAACTTGCAATGATATTGCATTTATCCCGTCCTTGATGCAGGTATTGCGTCTCAGAGCTCTGATAGGCTAAAACTAGATAGAATTATCATCCCATAGAGCGGTTGGCCAGATATGAAATGGAATATTGCATTTGGTTCCAGGCGCCCAACCTCATCAAGTACGTAATAGTCTTAGACGTCATTCGGTAATGATTTACCATATTAATAACTGGGACAAAGTCCCTTAACTATAATGACGGCTGCATAAACTTGGATAATTATCTTCAAACTGAGATTAAACATTGGTATTTATAATAACGAGAGGAACTGACCAGGCTATTAAGGAACAACACTTCCCTCTGCTGGAGGAATCCAAAACAAGTGAAATATAAGGATCTAAATTCTGTGCAATTCTCGATCAACAAAATATAGTAAATCACAGGTGATGGAATATGGAGGAGGGAATGTAATTTGAACTCATATAGTCTAAGATGACACTCCAATGCAGTGCTGGGGGTGGTGGGAATGCATTGTTAGAGGGTCCTTTGGTTGAGACCTTAAACTGAAGTCCCGTTTGCATGTTCAGGTGGATGTTAAGGATCCTATGATCAGAAAGAGAAGTGTACCTAATACCAAAACTATTCCTAATTTTAAATTCATTAAAATACATACCAAATTCTGCAAGCCTTTGTTTAAAAAAATCTGCGCACACATTTCCACATTATTAAACTAACAGGTGGTGTTCAGAGCAGTGTTATTTTCTTATTTAAATTCCGAGTTTTCTGAGACTTTTAACGCCAGTGCTAAATACGATTGGTTGATCTTGGTGTTAATAAGCTGCAAGCCCAGGGAACATCATCATAATAATAATAATAATCCTTGCATTTGATATAGCGCTTTTCACGTCCGGAGGACGTCCCAAAGCGCTTCAGAGAACACACCTTAAAGTGAATTGACTGTATATTTGTGGGCGAACGCGGCAGCCAATTGCGCACAGCAATGTCCCACAAACAGTCGTGGATTGAAAATGACCAATTTATTGTTGTTTTTGGTTTTGGAGGGATTATTATTAGGCTCTGTGTGGAGTAAGGAAACTTGCCCAAGGTTTGGCCCTCTGCCTGGAATTGAACTCAGGTCTCTCACTTGCAAAGCGAGTGCTCTAACCACTGAGCTACAGGACTCCAGGACTCATGGCATAAGATAGCGAACCTGTTCCTTTAAGTCAAACATGTTTTAATTCCAGCTATTATAATAATAGTAATAATAGTAATAATAATCCTTGGATTTGATATAGTGTCTTATCACGACTTCGATACGTCTCAGAGCGCTTTACGGAATATACTGTAAAGTGGATCGATTGTATATTTTGTGGGCGAAACGCAGCAGCCAATTGCACACAGCAGTGTCCCACAAACAGTCATGGATTTATTATTTTTATTTTGGAGGGATTATTAGCCCCGCAAAGTGAACCATCAACTAATAATCAGGTTCCTACTTACTGTAAGGTAAACAGAGGTGCGTGGAGTAAGGAAAGTCGCCTAAGGTTCCCCCCCCCCCCCCCGGGAAGCGAGTCGGGGTCCTCTCGCTGCCAGACAGGTGCTCCAACCAATACTCTATGGGACTCCAACAATGTCAGAATTTCACAGAAGGCTCCTCAAGCGCACAGAGCGGCCAGGAACGGGCAACAGTAAACGGTAAAGAACCCAGGCAGCACCCCCACCCCCACCCACCCCCACCCACCCCACCCACACCCACCCCCACCCACCCCCACCCACACCAACACCCACCCCCACCCACCCCCACCCACACTAACACCCACCCCCACCAACACCCACCCGCCCGCCCACACCAACACCCACCCACCCGCCCACCCACACCAACACCCACCCCCACCCACCCCCACCCACACCAACACCCACCCGCCCGCCCACACCAACCCGCCCGCCCACACCAACACCCACCCGCCCACCCACACCAACCCCACCCCACCCACCCGCCCACCCACACCAACACCCACCCCCACCCACACCAACACCCACCCCCACCAACACCCACCCGCCCACCCACACCAACACCCACCCGCCCGCCCACACCAACCCCCACCCCACCAACACCAACACCCACCCGCCCACACCAACACCCACCCGCCCGCCCACACCAACCCCCACCCCCACCAACACCCACCCGCCCACACCCACCCCCACCCCCACCAACACCCACCCCCACCCACACCAAAACCCACCCACCCACACACCACCAACACCCACCCACCCACCCGCCCCCCCCTCTCCAGCTGCTGCCGAGAGTTGCACAACTTACTCACTGACCCCTCCCCCGTTGCTCCGCCCCCGTTAGTCACTCAGACTCGCGCTGTGACCCATTGCTCACTTACCCGCAGTGTTGGGCTGTGATCACTGTATCGGGACATAGACATTACCAACAGCGGATACCGCCTACAGATCGTCAGGGCTGTGGGGTCGGCGGACCGGACCGGGAGGGGGGGCAGGGAGAGGGGGGCAGGGCGGGGGGGGGGGGGCAGGGGGGCAGGGCGGGGCGGGGGGGCAGGGAGAGGGGGCAGGGGGGCAGGGCGGGGCGGGGGGGCAGGGCAGGGGGTGCAGGGCGGGGGGTGCAGGGCAGGGGGGCAGGGCAGGGCGGGGGGGCAGGGGAGAGGGGGTCGGGGCGGGGGGGCAGGGAGAGGGGGGCAGGGCAGGGGGGGGGGGGTCGGACCGGCTAAGAGCCGAACCGGAAAGAAGTTTGTGTGTGAGTTGTTGGGGATCGGGAGAGAAGGGCTCCTCTCAGCAGAAGATGTCACAGAGGATAAAAGAACAAACCCGACAGATCCTCGACTGTCTCCTGGACGAGCGCGAGGAGGAGGGAACCCCTCTGGAGTGCGACTCAGACACCTCAGGTCACCCCAACAATCTACACCCACACACACTCACTCTCACACTCACTCACACACTCACACTCACACACTCACACTCACACACTCTCACACACACACTCTCACACTCACTCACACACTCACACTCACACACTCTCACACTCACACACTCTCACACTCACTCACTCTCACTCACACACACACACTCTCACACTCACTCACACACTCACACTCACACACTCTCACACTCACACACTCTCACACTCACACACTCTCACACTCACACACTCTCACACTCACTCACACACTCTCACACTCACTCTCACACTCACTCACACACTCTCACACTCTCACACTCACTCACACACTCTCACACTCACTCACACACTCTCACACTCACTCACACACTCACTCACACACTCTCACACTCACTCACACACTCTCACACTCACTCACACACTCACTCACAAGGGGGGGGTGCTTGGAGGGTGGGTGAGTGGGTGTTGGGGATGGGGGGGTGCTGGGTGGGGGGGGTGGGTGTTGGGGATGGGGGGGTGCTGGGTGGGGGTGTGCTGGGTGGGGGTGTGTGCTGGGTGGGGGGGGGTTGGGTGGGGGGGTGGGTGTTGGGGATGGGGGGGTGCTGGGTGGGGGTGTGTGCTGGGTGGGGGGGGGTTGGGTGGGGGGGTGGGTGTTGGGGATGGGGGGGTGCTGGGTGGGGGGTGTGCTGGGTGGGGGGGGTTGGGTGGGGGTGTGGGTGTTGGGGATGGGGGGTGCTGGGTGGGGTGGGTGGGGGGGTGGGTGTTGGGGATGGGGGTGTGCTGGGTGGGGGGGTTGGGGATGGGGGTGTGCTGGGTGGGGGGGTGGGTGGGGGGGTGGGTGTTGGGGATGGGGGGGTGCTGGGTGGGGGGGTGGGCTGGGTGGGGGGGGTGCTGGGTGGGCTGGGTGGGGGGTTGGGGATGGGGGGGTGCTGGGTGGGCTGGGTGGGGGGGGGGGGGGTTGGCCAGCAAACTTCTTGTGAACTTGTTTACATGTCAGACTGCCCACTGCTCGAATTTAACTTGAGTAGTTTCCTCAGTCCAGACGCCTGTTTTCCGGGCAGTGCCTCGGATCCTGGTCATCAGTCCGACACAGTACTCAGCGCGACGGGCGCTATATAAATACAAGTTGTTGTTGATTGGTGGATCGCATTTCGGTGGATAATAATCCCTCTGAAAAACAATTGGCCACTCAATCCATGACTGTTTGTGGGAAACTGCTGTGCGCAATTGGCTGCTGCCCTTCACTCACAAAATATACAGTCACTGCACCTTAGTATATTTTTTGAAGCGCTTTGAGATGTCCCATTACATCACAAGGCGCTATATCAAATGCAAGGATTATTATTCTGTGAAGCACTTTGTGATGTTTCAACAATGTAATAGGGCACTATGTCAAATGCAAGGATTATTATTATTATAGAGTGGCTATGGATTTGAGTATTTGAGCTGTGGGTTTTGACCTAAACTTTAGATTATCTGTGTTTCAAGTGTAAACCCATCAGAACTATACAGTGTTAAATATTGATCAGTGATTCATTTGTGGCTATTTATCACCTATTCACCAAATGTCCTTTTTTGACTTGGTTGTACCTGGAAATACTTTGCAGACATAATTTCTTGTCCATAGGAACAGAAGTAGGCCATTTAGTCCCTTGAGCCTGTTCCGCCATTCAATTAGAGATTATGACTGATCTGTACCTCAACTCCATTTACCCACCATTGCCCCATAGTTCAACATCAATAAATGAATAACATGGAACCTGGCTACTGCACACAATTCATTATTAACCCTGATATTGGGTGGGGCAATGATTGACATTGTTGATCCGTTGGATACCTACACACCTGCCTCACATAGTTTAGTGCGGATATGAGGTAAGGGAAGCATTGTGTGTCTGTCACCAGGTTAAGTTGACTGAACTGTGAGAAACATCCAGTAGCAGTTCTAGCCTTTGCCCTTGAGACTTGTACCTGTTGGAGGCCATGTTCAGTATGTTGTCAACCATAACAACTTGCATTTATACATCACAAGGGGTAGCGTCCCGTAACTCTTGTCACCAGGTTACTGTACAATACTGGTGGTTTATAATTACCAAGTTGGATGGTTAATAGCGCCAAAAAGTTATTAGGAAAGATGGCTGAGGTCCTTCTTTATGAAACAGCTGGAAGTGATAAAAGGAAAATGTTACAGTAATAATAGTCCTTGCATGTGATACAGCGCCATATCATGTCGCTTCACAGAATACACTGTAAAATGAATTGAGTGTATATTTTGTGGGTGAAATCCAGCAATCAATTACACACATCAATGTCCCACAAACTGTCATGGATTGAGTGACCAAATTATAACTTTTTTGGAGGGATTATTATCCCTAGAAAGCGATCCGCCAATTGACTAACAACTGGGTTCCAATTTACTGCTCGGTAAGCAGAGGCGTGTGGAGTAAGGAAATGTGCCTAATGTTTTAACTTAGGCAAGTAATCTCTTCCCGGGAATCAAACCCAGGTCCCCTGGCTTGCGAGGCAAGTACTCTAAGGTTGTATTGGGACAGACTGAACACTGGAGGGAAGAGAAGATTTTTCTTACATTCCCTGCAGATGTTCAAGAACTACTATAAGTACCTCACCAGAGAAGTGAACAGTCCTACTTGGAGTCCTGTAGCTCAGTGGTTAGAGCACTCGCTTTGCAAGTGAGAGACCTGAGTTCAATTCCAGGCAGAGGGCGAAACCTTGGGCAAGTTTCCTTACTCCACACAGAGCCTAATAATAATCCCTCCAAAACAAAACAATAAATTGGTCATTTTCAATCCACGACTGTTTGTGGGACATTGCTGTGCGCAATTGGCTGCCGCGTTCGCCCACAAATATACAGTCAATTCACTTTACAGTGTGTTCTGTGAAGCGCTTTGGGACGTCCTCCCGACGTGAAAAGCGCTATATCAAATGCAAGGATTATTATTATTATTATTACTCACTCCTGTCTTGGACAGATTAGTAAGTTATGTAGAGTTAAGAGATGTTAAGACGACAAATATTTTCAAGGCCTGAAAGACCTTGAATCTCTTATTGAAAATTATTAGAAAACCCTTTGTGGAGGTAATTGTTGTACACACATTGAATTAACTCTTCCTTCAGTTTTGCTGCTTTGGAGGAAACCTGTTGAAGATTGGTTGTGTAACATCAACAACTTGCATTTATATAGTGCCCCTCAGGCAGGGTAGCGTCCCTGAGTACTTCCCAGTGGCGGAGCACGACACCGAGGAAGGGGGAGGTGACCGTAGGTACCATCATAGAGCCAGGTCTTTAGGCGCAATCTGAATAAGGGAGAGACAGAGAGATAGAGGAAGATTGTTCAAGAGTTTCGGGGCGTAGTGACTGAAAGCGTGGCCACAGATGGTGGAACTGAGGGATGAGGAATATGCAGGAGGCTGGAGGTAGTCGAATGGAGGTAGTGAGTTGTGAAGATTGGAGGGGTGCCAGGGCTTGAAGAGATTTGAAAATGAGTGTGAGTGAACTGACCCTCTTTCTTATATCTTACAGAAGGCTGTTTCTGAGAGCCTGACATATAGCACATCAGAGTTTTAAAATTTCAGGGAGCCATTGGGTGACATAACTTTGAATGTTTAAGAAAGGCTGATGATTTCCTTATTAATGATTTGTGTTCAACGTTAGTAATTTGAACTCACAAGAATGTGCACTCCACGCCCAATGGAAATTCCACTACATATGTTAAACTCAGTTTGTTTGGATCATTTTAAAGCACAGTGGTGAGTTTGCATATGTCAGACACCTAGTTAACCAGGCCAAAAAAAATACACGTTTGCCCAACTCAGTTTTCAGCAGTTTTTCTATCCACAAAGAGTGATTAATTAAGTCAAACCTGAAAAACCGGTGGAAACAGGTCAATGAGACATGTATCGCACTGATCTGGTGTCTGGTTGAACAATTTGACTTTGGGGTCAATTAGTTGATTCACAATTCTCTTGATTCTGGAAGTGGAGTCATTCTCTCACACATTCCTTAGTCCTTCAGTGAGATATCAAGCCTCCTTGCAGCACGTAGAAGCCTGAAAATTCTCATGATCAGCCTAAGTTATGCTTAAATTTTAAGATTGCAGAAATTTTTGGAAAATTCACACATTTAATCTTAATTTGAAAGCCTAAAGAACCTCGGCAAAATCAGCTTCCAAATTAAAAAAAAACATTTTAAAGGATTTTCCAAAACTTAACTTTGAAGACAATGGCGTTGAGAAGAAATGTTGAGCTTCTGCTGAGTCGATGTGTGACTCCTCAGCGGGCTCAACGCAGACTAGTTGACACCTCACCTGAAAGACAAGTGGTGATCGAATCAGTGATATCAAACACACAGAGAAAAGGACAATTGGAGGACAGATTGTGCATTATCTTTATTACTGAGACCAAATAGATAACAATTAGGAAGGAAAAAAACATTTTGCTAGTCACCTCTGCTCCAAAACTCATAAAATTCTAGTTAAACATTCAATTGTTTTGCAAGGAAGAACTTGCATTTTTAGAGAGGCTTATCAAGCCAAAATATCTTAAAAGCATTTCAGGTGCAAGTACTGTTCAGTTTAGTGCCTCCTTTTAACAACACTAATCGTTGCAATTGAGAAAGCGCCTTATCACGTCACAAAGCACTTCCATAGAATACAAAATGAATTGACTGTTTTGTGGGCGAAACGCAGAATTGCCCACAGCAGCGTCCCACAAAGTCGGGGATGGAGAGACCAAATTATTTTTTTTTGTAATTTTTTTGAAGGATTACCTTCGGAAAAGCAATCTGCCAATCGATTAACAACGGGTTCTTACTGCAGGTAAACAGAGGCGGGCGGAGTAAGGATTCTTGCCCATTTTGCTCTGCCTAGGAATTCTGTAAGCAGTAGCATCTCATCTATTTTGGGTTATGTGCAAATCGCCACAATAATGGGCAGAAAATCATGTTACTGTAACACGATCCTCTTTCACTGCCAGGGGTAAGCGACCCCATTGCATTTTGTTTCTTTTGTAACACATTTTGTGCCCTTTCTGTTCTCCAGACGAAGATGTCCATCAGGTAGCGATGCGTCTTCGTGAATTCGGGGATGCGTGCAATGATACGATCCGGCAAGAGATGAAACGCTTCAAACTGGATTTACAGACCAGCCTGGCTGTAGGTCAGGTACGGTTGGGACTTTGTTCTGATAATTGGATTCAGCACATGTGAGTGAGCATTGTGTGCACAAAGCACAGGCAGCCATGTTACTGCTTGTATGTCATTAACTAAGGCTCACCTCCCATTTATTCCAGTGAAGTGTTATGCATTAACAGTGAACAAACAAACTGCATGAGTTAAGTGAGTTCATTAGACGTCCCAGCACTTTGGGACGGCCTCCCAACGTGAAAGGCGCTATGAAATGTATTTTGTTGTTGTTATTAGAGCCTGACATACAGAGTATTCAGAGTTTGTTCCTACAGCACTCCGTTAGCAAATAATTCAGTTTAATGAGCAATAAGGTATTTGGAAGTAATAATAATATTATTATTTAGAAGTACTTTTGACTTGAAGCGCTTCCCTTCTCCTCTGACCCCCATATTCATAGTTCAGAATTATTTTAATAGTAGGATTGAAGACACTTGCCACCACGCTTGCATTTGATATAGCATTTTATCACATCGAGGCTGACTGTCCAGCGCCTTGGGATGTCCTCCCAACGTGAAAGGCGCTATACAAATATAATTTTGTTGTTGTTGAAATTCTATTCCAATAGGAGTGAATAATAATAATGATGAATGAAACTCCATCCATTTACGGATTTAATTACCTACAGTATTTGATTATTATCTTGTGATAAAGGTCTCATTGAGTTTAGTTTCAGTAAAAATTTGATCCAATGCTGTAATTTTAAAGTAGTTTTAAGCTTCATCCAACAAACATTTCATTTAATAGAACAAATTCTGTTAATGCCAGCAGAATCCAGATTCATGATCCAACACGCAGAGTCAAGTCAATATCAGCTACAGTGCTACAATTTAGCTCATACTGGATTTAATCCAAAGTCACTGAAATGCTTACAGTATGTACTAAGCCTGAAAATATAGGAAGGTATCTTATTTTATCCTCTAGATTCTTCCTCAAGTATCATTGTGTAAAATTGTTCTCTGTTGCCTATGAAAGCTAATAATTCTCATTTGCAAGTATGTTAGGAAGTCCTCCTATCTATGCAAATGATTTATTTCCATGTATTCAATATCTTCGGAATCTTGTAGCTCAATGGTTAGAGCACTCAACTTGCAGGGAAGAGGACCTGGGCGGGACGAAACATTGGGCAAGTTTCCTTACTCCCACACGCCTGTTTACTCAGCATTAAATAGGAACCTGGCTTTTATTCGATTGGTGGATCGCTTTTCCGGGGATAATAATCCTTTCGAAAAAAAATAATGATTTTGTCACTCAATCCACAACTGTTTGTGGGACGTCGCTGTGGGCAATTGGCTGCCGCGTTTCACCCATAAAGTATACAGTCAATTCACTTTACAGTATATTCTGTGAAGCACTTTGAGACGTGATAAAGTGCTATATCAAATGCAAGTATTATTATTTTATATACTATATTATTATATATAATCGGAAAGACTTGATTGTTCAATCAGCAGACACCTCCACAGGTACTGCAGATTCCACAACTCACAGAAGGCATTGTTGGAGATGTATTGGGCTTTGGCCCTCTCCCAAGGCAAAATACCTGCGTTGGGTGAAACTCCCCGTGCAATGAATCACAAGTGAGAATGCCATTATAGGTTATGACTCAATCAAATGTTGTTGCTATCAAGACATGAAGCAACCTGTTAAATCTTGTTGCAATTGAGACATGTAGCAACTACTGTCCTTCAAAGCACTCGTCAGTTTGGCCACAAAGGGATTCTTGCCCAACACTCTGCATTTCCTTCCTAGAATATTATTCCATGTGAAATGTAACTTTACAGTAGAAGCCATTTTTAGAATTTGATATAAAACAAGTCAATACTTGAATGATCCAAGTTAGTCAAGAAATTACTGTTCAAATTATCTGCTTATATTTACAATGAATTTAGTTGCATAACAGTTCTTAAAAGTAAAATTAGAACATTTGCCATTTATTTCAGTAACATCTTCACCTTTTCTCTCTCAAGGGACGTGAAATGTTCTCTAAAATAGTGAATCAACTCAGTGAAAACGGAACCCTACAGAAAGAGTTGTCTCAGATGGGATCTGAGATAGGTCTTCTAAAGATCGTTGTTGTCTTAGGAATTCAAGCTGCTCACGAACTGCCTAGCATGGTGCCAGCTATTAAGAATGCCATGGCAGACTTCTTAAATATAAGACTTTTGTCCTGGATTCAAAAATCAGGAGGATGGGTAAGTAATATAAAGTGTGGACCACTGGTTCTGATGGAGTAGATAGGGAGAAAGTGCTTCTCTCTTGGGACAAGGGAGGTGTTTCAGCGCCTTGGGACGTCCTCCCGACGTGAAAGGCGCTTTATAAATGGAATCTTGTTGTTGTTGTTGTTGTTTCCTCTGGTAGGGGGGCGGTAACCAGATGACACAGATATAAAATAATTGGCAAAAGAACCAGAGGGGAGATGAGGAGAACATTTTTTACCCAGAGTTGTCATGGTCTGGAATGCACTGCCTGAAAGTGGGATGGAAGCAAATTTGATAATAGCTTTCAAAAGGGAATTGGATTGGTACTTAAAAAGGAAACATTTGCAGGGCTGTAGGGTAAGAGCAGGGGAGAGGGACGAGTTGGTAGCTCTTTCAAAGAGCTGGCTGGCACAATGGGTGTATGGAGTCCAGTGCTGTTAGATTCTATGATTCTAGGAGTGCCCTAGATCTCCATTGGTGAATGTGGTATGTTTGACTTCCTTCCCCACAATGAAGCAACTCTTACCATGTCCTGATGACTCGCTTGAGATGAGAATATGAATCTATGAATTAAATTTCTCAAATAGCTATCCAGATTTATAGACACAATCTGCCCACACCACTTCCTCCCTGAGTAATCTGTTCCACATATTCATTTGTAAACATAAATCTGAACTGCCTGTTCACCGCCCCTTTTCTGTGCTATAATCTCCCTTGCCCGACCCTGGTCTATGTTTGTTGACCATGTTAAACATATGAAGGATTGAGGAGCTGAAAGGTTGAATGGAGAGAGAAAGCTCAGCAGTATAGTTATACATCCTCCCGATGTGAAAGTCGCTATATAAATGTAATTCTGTTGTTGTTATAAGGATGAAGCAAGCTATTTAGACAGAAAGGGAAAGAGTGGGAAGAAATGTTAGATAACCATGATTCCAAACATTGAAAGAACATCTCCCCACCATTAGTGGAAATCATTTTAATCTGGTAGGGTGAAAGATTATAATAATGCTTGTATTTAATGGTGAAACTCAATGCTTGTAAGTTGCCTCTAATCATGGAATATAGTGGAGTCCTGTAGCTCAGTGGTTAGAGCACTCGCTTTGCAAGCGAGAGTCCTGAGTTCAATCCCCGGCAGGTCAGGGCGAAACCTTGGATAAGTTTCCTTACTCCACACACAGCCCTAATAATAATCCCTCCAAAACCAAAAACAATAATAAATTGGTCATTTTCAACCCACGACTGTTTGTGGGATATTGCTGTGTGCAATTGGTAGTTTAAAAGGAAAATTAAGTGAAATTTCTCTGTGTTTGTCAGATAACAGAAAAAAAGCAGAGGCTCATTCTATAAACTTTACACATTATTCATGTCTAAAGCCGTTGCCAATATAAACACGCTGAGTTTCAGCGGTCTAACAAGTGAGAATTGGTATTTCTGCAAAATCTATGGGGTGGTGTATCCACAAGGCCCCAGCTCCACCCAAAAGGCAGTGTCAAATCTTTGGTTACTGCATTCCAACAATGAAAGGAAAATGGAGAAATAAATACAATATTTCCAGATAAAGTAACTTTGAGAAGTTCTTACCAAACAATAGAGAAGCAAGTATTTTCTAATGTAATGACGGTCTCCCTCTATCCCACCAAGTAGCCAAGCCTTCAGCCACTAGTCCTCTTTGTCTGGTGCATTCTCTCAATATCCCTTTGCCTTCAGCCTTCTCTCTCTCATTCCCCCCACCTTCAAAACCCTCCTTACAAACTTCTCCCTTTAACCGTGCCTTGGGCAACATCTTTCCTTTCTGCTCGGGTTTCTTTGCTTTCGTCCTTTGATAACTGCTTCAAGACATTCGCCCTGCGGTAAAAGGTACTAATAAATAATAAATAAATGCAAATAGTTGTTGATTTCCTTTTCTTCATTATATTTTCAGAAGAACATCCAACTTGAAAAGACTACACCTTCCCAATCTAATGGTGAATGTCTCTAAACCTGGAGCCTCAATGCAAAGGAACTATTTCAGAGTGCTATTGTAATACCTTTGTCATTTGAAACTGCTGTTGCATTTATACAACAACAAAAAATTACATTTGTATAGCGCCTTTCACGTTGGGGGGAACGTCGCAAGGCACTGGACAGTCAGTGTTTTGGATCACACTCATTATACAGCCAAAAATCCAGATTCCTCTCCGGGTCCTCAAAAGAGGAATTGCAGATCAGTGTCACAACTGTGCAGGGGCAGAAGTTTCGAGGACATCATCCGTTTAGGAGGAGCTGTGGACTCTGGATGCGACTGGGACCTCATCTGGGGAAATTAACATGTTTACAGTATTTGTGGGAGAACGTAATCCAAAAAAATAAAAATTGATAAATAAAATGGAAATTGGGTACAAAAGTAAATTTATACTCTCTGTACTAAAAGGAATGGAGGCTAAGAACAGGAGTGAGAGTGAGAATGGAGGCAACTAAGCAGTGTAACCCATATTATCACACCACATGCAATGTAGAGTCCTGTAGCATAGTGATTAGAGCACTCGCCTCGCAAGGGAGAAGACCCGGGATCGATTTGCGCGCATGGTTGGGCAAGTTTCCTTACTCCACACACCTCTTTTACCCAGTAATAAATAGGAACCCGGTTGTTAGTTGATTAGCGGCTAGGTTCTCCGGGGGTAATAATCCCTTCAAAAAAATAATAATTTGGTAGCTCAATCCACGACTCTTTGTGGGACGCTTCTGTGCACAATTGGCTGCCAAGTTCTGCCCACAAAATATACAGTCAATTCACTTCACAGTGTATTCTATGAGGCACTTTGAGACGTTTCAAAGACGTGATAAGACGCTGTATCAACCACAAGGATTATTATTATTTATTATCACACCACATGCGATGTACAACTTATGGCCCTAGCTGTTTTCAAACTAATTTTTTCCCCACGTCCCCAGTGCCATAGAGACCAGGAATAAAGTTCCGACAATTAGAGTGACGCAGAATTCACTCTATTACAACAATAATACTAATAATAATCCTTGCATTTGATAAAGCGCTTCAAAGCTAGATAATCAGAGACATGTGGAGTAACAAAACTTGACTAAGGTTTTGCCCTGCCAGGGAATGAAACCCAGTTCCTCTCGCTTGCGAGGTGAGTGCTATAACCAATATGCTACAGGACTCCACACAATGAAGACTGACTAGCACGATCGTGTAGCCAGCATCTACCTACGTGGGACTTCCAAAAGGTTTTAGAATGCATATAAAAGGCAGTGTGAAAACACCAGTCTTAACAGCAGGGTAGGCGGATTATAGGATGTGTCCACATCAAGGTTCGAGTACGAAGCTTTCTAGACCAGAGTGTAGTGACTGTTTAACCGCTACTAAAATCTCACAGATCCAGGCCTCCGGGGTGGGGGGGGGGAGAAGGGAGAGAATGATAGTCTCTAGTCAGTTTATGATACATTCTTCTGAATTGTCCTAGGAAACAAGTGTAAGAAAATGATATATGTTCACTCTCGGTGTCTTAGTCATCTCTCGTTACTCTGCTTTGGGTTATGCTCTACCAACAACAACAAATAGCCTTTCACGTTGGCAGGACGTCCCAAGACGTTGGTAGTGAAGAGTGTGCACCTGAGCTAGGGGTTGGAGTCAAGAGGGGATTGATTTACCGCTGGAGGCAAATGGAAGCAGCCATTCTCCTCTTATACTGTAATATCATGAAGTTCCATGTACTGATGATATTAAGCGGAACCTGTGGATTCGTAGGACCTTATAATAATATTGCATTTGATATAGCACCTTATCACGTCTTCAAGATGCCTCAAAGGACTTCCCAGAATATAAATATAAAATATAAATATAAAAAGTTAATTGACTATATTTTGTGGGCGAAACACGACAGCCAATTGCACACAGCAGCGTCCGACAAACAGTGGTGGATTGAGTAACAGTGTTATTTTATTTTTCTCATATCTGTGTCCAGTAATTTCCCTCAACCCCTGTGCAAGTCAAATCTGTTATGTATTAATGTGTGCGCAATTGAATTCTAACCACATCATCAAGTCAACTGTTCCCCCCCCTCCCCCCCCACACCCTACGATTAGAAATGAGTCAACAGTAGTTGGTTTAAATGACGAAGGAAAACACTGTGGTAAGATGGACATGCAGGTGGTTGTATAGGGAGCAGGAAAGAGTTTCAAGATAAGTTTGCACAATGTTTGCTGTAGAGTGCAGATAAAGAGAATGCTACTTATACTGGAAGCTGACCCAAAGTAGGTCAGAGAATGTGCACACCCTCTGTTGTAGTGAAAGAGAAACAGTTGTGTTAAAACATCTTAAATACCAACTTTTTTGCAAGCAAGCACAAATTGTTTTTAGGAGAAGGGACACTTTTATTAGTTCGGTGGTGTGCTGGGTGGTGGGGGGTTGGTGGTGGGGAGAGAAGTTACATTTATCTGCTTGATCAACATACAGGCATGAACAATCATTTTATAATCATTTCTAATGCAGTGTGTTGAACATGCACATTATTGTGTGCCAACCACAGCTTAATAACAGGAAACACGCAGTAAAAGCAGCACTTTCAGGTTTCATTTGTCGAAAAGTCTGGGCGGTCAGTGATAGTGAGGAGCTATGAACAGGACGGTAAGCCACAGTGACGTAAATACAAGTGTTTCTGGCCACGCCGCTTTCTCTGCAGCATTTCCTTGTTCAGACCCGAGCAGCAACCATCATATTAGAAAAAAATCTAATTTACAACATTGTCCAGTTTTTACCATTGCTGTACAATTTCAGTGTTTGAAAAGTCTGTGGGACTCCCACAAATCTTGTTTCTCAACAGCAGAATGTCTTGACTGAAAAATTGCTGCTTATTTACCAAAAGATTCATTGGACATTTAAAACCAATTATTGCACATCTCAAAAAAATGCAGAAACACCACCACACTGAAGGCAATATGACTTTCAGGCTCCCGTGGTACAGATCCCACTCAGGCTCCTTCCTCAAATTCTCCTCACTCACTGACTGACTGACTGACTGACTCAGTCACTGACTCACTCACTGACTCACCAGCATTAGCTGATAGTTCTCTGATCCAGTGTCACTTTTCCCGCAGTACACACACACCAGCATCGCAACGTTGAGTCCCCATCGAAGTGACCACATCCCAGCTATCAATAATGGGATCGTAGCACTCGATGCTGCTCAGTAGTGAATTCCCATCGTATCTGTCAATAACAAAGACACAAAAAATATCAGAGCTTCGCTTCTACCAGATTGATTTCACAATCTGGAGTCCTGTGGCGTAATGGTTAGAGTGCTCGACTCGCAAACAAGAGACCTGGGTTCAATTCCTGGCCGAAATGTTACGAGTTTCCTTACTCCACACACCTGTTTACCTAGCAGTAAGTAGGAACCCGGTTGTTAGTCAATTTGTCGGATTAGTTTTCTGGAGGTAATAATCCCTTCAAAAAATAATAATTTGGTCACTGAATCTACAACTGTTTGTGCGCAATTCGCTGTCATGTATCGACCACAAAATATACAGTCAATTCACTTTACAGTATATTCTGTGAAGCGCTTTGAGACGTGTTGAAGACGTGATAAGGCCCTGTTTCAAATGAAAAGATTATTATCATTACAGAAGAAAGATTCCCAGTCCGGTAAGCCGCCCAAAATAAAGGCAAATTTGTTTCAGTATTTCCCATGCGGCCTCTTTCCTTCAGGTCAGGAGAGAATGCTCTAGACTGGGAGCCATACAGATTGTCTCCTGAAATCCTGCTGTTGAATGGTCAACTACCAGAAGAGGAAACCCCCATGATAGCAGGACAGAGTAGAGTAGGGGACCATGCCTTTCTTGGAATGTGGCTCTCTCTACTCTGCACAGCAGCAGATAATGTTATAAATAATGGGAAATTGTGGCCTTCTCCACTGAAGCAGAATAAATTAAACAGGATATGATACAGATCTTCAAGGTACTGAAAGCACAAGACAGTATAAATAGGGAATGTCAGTTTGGGTATCGGTGACAGAAATCACGGGAGAGTTTAGAAGGAATTTCTCAGAAGATTGTCAGGGTTTGGAATTCACCACCACGAGTGGTCAGTATCGCCATGTCCTGTGTGAAAAACAAGAGTACTGAATAATAAGTATTGGCCCCACCCATTGGAACTCCATCCCACAGTCCCTTCACCTAGCTCCCTCCCTTGTCTCCTTCAAGGCAGGTCTCAAGACCCTCCTCTTCGACTGTATCTTCAGTCATCCTCCTACCTCTACCCTCCACCCCTCCTGATCCCAAACCCCTGCTCGGGTTCAAATCCCTAACAGTCCAGCACCTTGGGACCCCCTCCTGACATGAAGGGCTTTACGGAAATGTAATTTGTTATTGTGGAATAAGTTGTCAGGTCCAAATATCTACACATCAAGCCTGTAATAATAAGTTAAAAATGTCAATGTAACAGATTCCATGCTTATGCCAGACTCTGGAACTACATCCCCCAGTGCCTTCGCCGCTTCCTCCCTTTCCTCCTTCAAGACCTTTCTCTTTGACCGTGCCTTCAGCTCCCCTCTCGACTCTCAAACCCCTCCTCGCTCCCTCCCTTCCCTCCCCTCACCCTGACCATTTCCCCCCTGCTCGGGTCCTGACCCAACTGTCCAGCGCCTTGGGACGTCTTCCCGACGTGAAAGGCGCTCTGTAAATGGAATCTTGTTGTTGTTGTTGTTATAGAATCCAAGCTCACAAGAAGTCTTGCCTTACTATGCCTCTTTCATAGCTTTTATGCTCTATACCTCTATTTATAAAGCCAAAGGTCACGTTTTTAACAGCTTTGTCAACTTTCCTGCCACCTTCTGTCCTATACAACTCCCAGGAGCAGATTAATAGGTAAGCGTATTTATGCTTCGTATTATTCACCTATAGATGGCCACCCCAATCCCACTCTTGGTTACAATCAAGTAGAATTCTTTAGTGTGGTTCATTACAATCTGAGGACCACTTGCCTTTATTCCATTGGTAAATCAAGATGATTATTTAAACTATTCACTGTAATCTGACGTACCCAGCAATGGCATACAGCCTCCCACGCAGAACTGCTGCTCCAACATAGCATCGAGGTGTCGTCATGTTGGTTACCATGACCCAGGAATCCGTCCGAATGTTGTAAGCTTCCACAGAGGCGAGGTGGGCAGTGCCATCAAAGCCACCCACTACGTAAATGTGGTCATTCAGCAAAGCCACTCCAGCTCCTGTGTAACAATAATAATCCTTGCATTTGATACAGAGCCTTAACATGTCGTTGAGACGTCCCAAAGCGCTTCATAGGATATACTGTAAAATTAGTTTACTGCATATTTTATGGGCGAAATGCAACAGCCAATTGTGCACAGCAGTGCCCCACAAACAGTCGTGGATTGAGTGATCAAATTATTAATTTTTTTTGAAGGGATTATTACCCCCCCGGAAAGCGATCCACCAATTGATTAACAACCGGGCTCCTACTTACTGCTCGGTAAACAGGCATGTGGAATAAGGAAACTTGCCAGAGGTTTCACCCTACCCGGGAATCAAATTCAGGTCCTCTCGCTTGTGAGGCGAGTACTCTAACCACTATGCTACACAACTCCATTGTACTGGTAAGATGAGATGCAAAATACTTTTACAGATTTTACAGAAATACTGGGACACCTGCTTTACTTCATACTAAGCTGATCAGAATTCTCCTTACAATGAAAGAACTCTGTGCAAAATAGAGACAAACAAAATTATATTTGAGCTCAGTCGGTGGCAAGAACGGGTCAGTAACTGGAACGTCCAAAAGCCAACCAGAGCGTACGTGTTACAAGGAAAGAATTAAACAACCAAAATGTTTGCACATAGAAAACATGAAAATAATAGCCTTGCACATCAGGATTAGGTCTCAAAGCACTTTACAGGATTTACTGTAAAGTGTCCTGACTGTGTATTTATAATCAAATGCAACAGCCACTTTGCGCACAGCAATGTCCCACAAACAGCATGAAGTGAATGACCCAATTTTATTACGGGGTTTGTTGGCCAGGACAGCCGGAGAAACTCCCTTCTTTTTGAATAATGCCATGAGATCTTTAATGTCTACCTAAACTGTCAGACTGACCTCAGTTTAACATATCATCCCAAGGACCTCATCACTCTCCCAATACTACACAGTAAATCTCATATAAGTCTTATCAGTTGGGATCATACCATTAATATGACATGCAAAGTATGAGTTATGTCAAACTTGCAAAGAATATTAAACTCTTGAACGGGACTGGGGCAGATGTACGACTTAGGTGATTATACGATTTATACAGATAATATAAATAATATAAACTAGCGCCTTTTCACGTCTATGAAGCGTCTCAAAGCGCTTCACAGAATACACTGTAAAGTGAATTGACTATATATTTTGTGGGCGAATCGCAACAGACTCAAGCGAGTTTTATTGTATTGAAATATTGGCCCACACTGAGTTTAAAGTCCCGCCGTGGGGTTTGAACCTACTACCCTCTGACTTTGAAGCGGTGAGAGTGCTAAACTGACCTGACCGTTTTGTGGCCATCGGTGTGACATGTGTCCAGTGGCTGGTGTGTGGGTCATACCTCTCCACAGAGCTCAGAATGTTAATCCCATCGTAACCACCTGTAACAAAAGAGAGCACGAGGGCTGGTGTGTGGAGTGAGTCATTATCTGCACTCGTCTGTCAGCAAAAACACTATTCAGTTACTCCCTGTCCCTCCCCACTGGTTTCCAGTATTGATAATAATAATCTTGGCATTTGATATAGCGCTTTAACGCGTCGCTGAGATGTTTCAAAGCGCTTTATGGAATATAAAGTGGATTGACTGTGTATTGTATGAGCAAAACAATCTATTTATCTATTATTGATCATACCCATACCATTATTTCTGCTTTAACCCCACTAACTCAACAGTAAAGCACTCAAGTCTAATAGCATGTACTTGTAAAAATTAATCTGTATCACTAGTTTGTTATGCGTATTGTAAAAAAAAGGGCTCACCAACAAAATACACAGAGTATCCTGTGAAGAGCTTTGAGACGTCTCAACAAAGTGATAAGGTGCTATATCAAATACAAAGATTATCATTTAATCCCATCCTCCTGTCTATTAAGCTAGATAAGTACATGAGGGAGAAAGGAATAGAAGGTTATGCTTGAAGCTTAGTTGAGGAAGGGCAGGAGGCTCATGTGGCACAGACCGGCATAAACCAGTTGGGCCGAATGGCCTGTTTCTGTACTGTATATTCTAAGTAATTCTATGTAATTTCCCATATCCTTCCTTACTTACCTCGTAAATATGGATTCTGTGTATTATGGTACAATCCTCATTCAAAGATTTCAGGGAAACAAGCGGCTAATTATTTGCCTTTTGGAATTGTCACTGCACTGTGTGTCTTGTTCTGTATCATAGAATCTTACAGCACAGAAGGAGGCTACTCGGCCCATCGTGCCTGTGCCGGCTCTTTGAAGAGCCACCAATTAGTCCCACTCCCCCGCTCTTACCCCATAGCCCTGCACATTTCTCCTTTTCAACTAAATATCCAATTTCCTTTTGAAAGTTATTATTGAATCTGCTTCCATCACCTTTTCAGGCAGTGCATTCTATACTGTCATCATATAAGTATCTTTATTAGCAAGCATCAACAATAACTTATATTTATATAGCACCCCTCATGCAAGGTAGCTTCCCAGAACACTTGACAGTGACAGAGCACGACACCAAGCCAGGACTGAAGACACGGTCGAAAAGGAAGGTCTTCAGGTGCAATCGGAAGATGGGGAAGGAAGAAGCAAAATGTCAGGGTGTAGTGGCTGAAAGCACGGCCACCAATGGTGGAACAGAGAGCACTTGGGACATGCAGGAGGCTGTAGCCAGTCGAGTGGAGGCAGGAGGTAGTCGAGTGGAGGCAGTGAGTAGTGGGTTGGGGAATAAGCAGGTCGGAGAGGCAGCAATTCAATCAGGGTGTAGGACAGAACACAAACCCTCCAAGGCAGGGCACAGCAGGGCACGGTGGGTTGGGGCAGGGCGGGACAGTCAAAGGGTCTTGAAAACCCACCAATGCAGTAGATTACACCGTTGGCTACAACCAGGCCAGCTCCCTCGCGGGCAGTCTGCATGTCTCCCAGCATGCTCCACTGATCAATGTTTGGATCATACCGCTCCATGCTCGTGTGTCGTCTGCTCCCGTCAAACCCACCCGCCACGTAGATCATATCTGAAATTAACAGCAATTTCCAGACAACGGGATTAGTGAAGATCACAAGAGGGATAGATTCACCAATATGCTCTACACTGTAATATTAAAGCAGGGGTTCCAACCTTTCGGCTGCAGAGGGGCGGATGCCCTATTTGAGAAATGTCTGCGGGCCACATAAGCAATATTTTTGTGTTTCTCTTCCAGAAACGTAACATAATATTTATGGGTTATAGAGAGTGGGTGGACCAGGTGAAATGGAGGCGGGAGATAGAATAAATCAGCCCGTGGGCCGCCAGTTGGACCACCCTGGTCTAAAGCATGTCTACATATAACACAGTCAGATAAGCTCCCACACCAGTTACACAGAGTTGCAGAAAATTTATTTAAAAAATCGGTAAACATCAATATTCAGCCATTTTGTGATGTTCCGCAATCAAACGTAAATAAATTCTCATTGATTAAAATCTATTTTCGGCAATTTACTTTTTTTTAATAAAAAAGACTATAAAATCGACATTGCGTTCACATCTCCACATCCAACTCTGTTCACACACCTTCCAGCAGCCGAGCTGCCTACACTTCGGTATAAAACTCCATCAAAACACCATCAAGAAGGCAATTTACTTCACAAAATTGCTCAATTACTCCCAGTTATTCTGCATTCCAGACATTAACATTGGCGTCAATTTAGAACCTGCCACAACCGAATGGTAAGAGAGAGTCCTGTTGCTCAGTGGTTAGAGCAAGCGAGAAGACCTGGATCTGATTCCCAGACAGGGCGAAACGTTGGGCAGGTTTCCTTACTCCACACGCCTCTGTTTATATAAGTTGATAGTCGATTGGCGGATTGCTTTTCCTGGGGTCATCCCTTAAAAAAAATGGTTACTCAATCCATGACTGTTTAGGGGACACTGCTGTGCGCAGGCTGTCATGTTTCACCCACAAAATGTACAGTCAATTCACTTTACAGTATATTCTATGAAGTTCTTCGAAATTCTTGAAGATGTGACAGGGCGCTATAGCAAATGCAACGATTATTATTATTCATTTCATGTGCTAAATACATCCTAAATTCCACCAAATTTGGGAGAGGTTTATAACCATCAGCAAGTTTGCCTTAACTTTTCTTCTTCGTTACTTTGAACTGTAACCTGGGCCCATCACCTCTAACTGCATCTGGAGCCTCAGACCATTGTGTTTGACCCATTGCAGCAGCGACACACAAACACAAGCGGCCACTCCCTTACCACCGAGCGTTGTGGCTCCTGCCAGGCCTCGCCGCACATTCATCGGGGCCACGGAGTACCAGACGCCATCTTCATCAGAGGTGTAATCTAGACATTCCACAGAGCTGAGACGGGAGCGGCCATCGTAGCCGCCAATCACGTAAATCCGGTCGTTCAGAGACACAGTGGCCACGTATCTCCTCTTGCGGGTGATGCTCTGCAAAATAAACCCGTTGTCTAATGTGAGGTTAGAATCAGAAAGTGGCCCCAGGTTTAAATCACAACAATTCGCATTATATAGTGAGCGCCCATTTCCCAGGGCAGCAACAGCACAACTGAGTTGAGGAGGTTAGACTCTGCCATGGAGGCCCTCACACAATCTACTGCTCTTGTTGAGCAAAGAAACAAACAGTGATTTTCTCTGTAGCCTGTAAAACCAGGTTGATGGATGTTGCAAGCAGAGAAACACAGTCACAGTTCCTGGGAGGACAGGAAAAAGCAAAGTTCCCCACCATGTACTCACGGGCAAGAAGCTCCAGTCCTGAGACTTGGGGTTGTATTTCTCCACAATGTCAATGGGGGACTGCTGGCTTCCAAACCCACCAATCACTAACAGGACTTCATTGGCTCCTACGGAAAAAATTAAGAGGGTTTTGTCAGATTCTGGACTGAGAGTTATAAAGCCATACCCAAACAATATTCAGCCATTAAAAACTGCAAACAATCCCAAATAATTTCGGGGGGGGGGGGGGGAGGACAATGAAATGGAAGTAGAGACAATGAAATGGAGAATGCATTAACGTAAAATTGTGTGTTTATTATGCACAAAATCTGCCTGAACGCAAACAATGGCACACTGGTGTACTGTGAAGGGGAAGGAATATAACTGGGAGAAAAGTCCTTCTTTAAAATAGTGAAAGCCTGTAGTCCAGTAGCTCAGTGATTAGAGCTCTCGCCTTACAAGAGGACCTGGGTTAGATTCCCGGCAGGGCGAAACGCTGGGCAAGTTTCCTTACTCCACACGCCTCTGCTTACCTAGCAGTAACTAGGAATTCGGTTGTTAGTCAATTGGTGGATCGCTTTTCCGGGGGTAATAATTCCTCAAAAAAAAATTTGGTCACTGTGTTTGTGGGACGCTGCTGTGTGGAATTCGTTGCCTTGTTTCGCCCACAAAATACAGTCAATTCACTTTACAGTATATTCTGTGAAGCGCTTTGAGACGTCTCGAAGACGTGATAAGGTGTCGTATCAAATACAAGGAATATTATTATTAAAGCTATTATTAAAGCAAGACGATCCTTTTACATTCACCTGAATCAAAGACAGACAGAAAAGCAATCTCTCCTTCCTCTTTCACACCCCACCATCCCAACCCTCAGCAATTTTCTATCAGATATCTCTTAAAAATTAAATCATTTTAATAGCAGTCAAAATATCACAAGAAAATAATCTGGTTTTGTGAGAAAACTTAACTGGCCTGATTAGCAAGCATCCCTTTACACAAGAAAAACTCCACATGCATCTGCCAACGGTAGGCAGTGCTGTTTGTTTCTTGTCCACTACAACATTTGGAACCTATTTGTAGAGCCTATATATCTTTCATAATGAATAATAATCCTTGGATTTTGATATAGCTCCTTAGCATCTTACTGAATGTCACAAAGCCGTTCACAGCATTTTGCAATGAAGTCCAGTGACTTTGTGGGTGAATATAACACTTTTCAAACAAAAGGACTCAAAGTGCTTTGTAAAATGACAAACAAGCAGCAGCTTTCGTCAAACTCCTTTTGCTAATTCATGTGGTGGCTACTTGATGTTTGTTTCGGTAAACACATATCTGGGCACAAACACATGCTCAGTGCTCGTGTTAAACAATAATAATAATCCTTGTATTTGATATAGGACCTTATCACGTCTTTGAAAACGCATCACAGAATATACTGTAAAATTAATTGACTGTACATTTTGTGGGCAAAACGCGGCAGCCAATTGAGCACAGCAGTGTCCCACGAGCAGTCGGGAATCGAACCCAGATCCTCTCGCTTGCGAGGCGAGTGCTCTAACCACTAAACTACAGGACTCCATATCAAATGTAAGGATTATTATTAAATGCCAGATGTGGTTCTTTCATTAAACCACTTAATTTAAATTCCGTAATCCCTTGCAGTTCCAGGGCACTGCTCTTTAGCAGACTTAGCTGACTTCCTCCTCGTTTCCAGTGAAATATCGCTCACTTTAAGCCCTAATCTTCTGCAGAGTTTCTTCCTGAGAAACATTAGCAAGTTGCATAATCATAATTCACTAAAGGCACAGAAGGAAATTTGTTGGCGCAGCTAATCATGGGGAATAACCTCCACATCTTCTATGAGGCCTGAAACTAAATATTGATAAATTTATAGCATTAAAATACAGTCAATCCACTTTACAACAACAGCTTGCATTTATATAGCGTCCCTCATGTGGGCTAGTGTCCCAGAGCGCTTGAACAGGACCCTGAGCCGCGGATGGGGGGGCGGGGGAGGTGACCCCAGGCATGGTCAAAGAAGAAGGTCTTCAGGCGTGACCTGAAGATGGGGGAAGAAAGGGGCAAGGCCAAGGGTTAGAAGAGAATGTTCTAGAGTTTCAGGGTGTAGTGGTTGAAAGCGCGACCACCGCTGGTGGAACAAAGGACACGAGGGAAATGCAGAAGGCCACTTTACAATATATCCTGTGAAGCGCTTTGAGATGTTTCAAAGACAGGATAAGATGCTATACCAAATGCACAAATTATTTTGTTACCATAATTAATTATATTCTCTTCCTTTTGTATGGAGTTTTGGAGTCCTGTAGCTCAGTGGTTAGAGCACTCGCTTTGCAAGTGAGAGACCTGAGTTCAATTCCAGGCAGAGGGCAAAACCTTGGGCAAGTTTCCTTACTCCACACAGAGCCTAATAATAATCCCTCCAAAAAACCAAAAACAATAATAAATTGGTCATTTTTCAATCTACGACTGTTTGTGGGACATTGCTGTGCGCAATTGGCTGCCGCGTTCGCCCACAAATATACAGTCAATTCACTTTACAGTGTGTTCTGTGAAGCGCTTTGGGACGTCCTCCCGACGTGAAAAGCGCTATATCAAATGCAAGGATTATTATTATTATTATTATTATTTGTATGAGAACTAAAGACTTTCTGCTGCTCACTTGGGAAATTTCAGTCTAATTGAATCACAATAGAGTTTGGATGACTCTTCAAGCACTTTGATTCCGTAGGTAAATTCAGTATGGGGTTAGATGGTAAGTGGACAGGAAAATTTGCTTATAGATCAACTAATAGGACAATCTGGTCAGCCTAAAGCAGTGTTCTACAAACCTGAATAATAATAATCCTTACATTTGATATAGCGCTTTATCTCTCAAAGCGCTTCACAGAATATACTGTAAAAAGTTAATTGACTGTATATTTTGTGGGCGAATTGCGGAAGCGTCTCACAAACAGATGTGGATTAAGTGACCAAATTATTATTAGTTTTTTTTGAAGCAATAATTACCCCTGAAAAACCGATTCGCCAATCGAGTAACTGGGCTCCTATTTACTGTTAGGTAAACAGAGGTGTGTGGAGTAAGGAAACTTCCCCAACATTTTACCCTGCTCAGGAATCAAACCCAGGTCCTCTCGCTTGCTCTGACCACTAAACTACAGGACTCCATATGAAATGCAAGGATTACCATTAAATGTCAGATAGAGGTGGTTCTTTTGTTAAAACCACTTAATTTAGGTTCTGTAATCCCCTGCAGTTCCAGGGCACTGCTCTTTAGCAGATTTGACCTGGTCTTGGTTGACTTCCTTCTCTTTCTCAATGAAATGTGACTTACTTCAACCCCTAATCTTCTGCAGAGTTTCTGAAGTCCACATTGATTTATTCTTCTGAGCAAGTTGAACAATCATGATTCATTAAATACACTAAAGAATAAGTGCCTAACTTTTCGCCCTGCCCAGAAATCGAACCAGTTCCTCTTGCTTGTGAGGCAAGTGCTCTAACCACTACACAGGACCCCACAATAAATGAATTGTAACAGTACAAAGCACAAGTACTGCCCTCACAGTGGGACTCACCCAGTCGTGGCCGGGTCCTGGGGCCCTGCATTTGTGTGCGTATTTCTGGTCTCAGGTGAAATTTCTTTGCTTCATCTACAAGATCCCTGCACTGAAGGCTACACCGAATCAGTGGCTGGAGAAAGAGAGAACAAGTGACAACCCACCAGTGTACATGTCCCTTCTAACACTCGATTCAGTAGCAGAAGGTTGGCAGAATGGGAGGAAGAGGGGGGGAAAGAGAGAGAGAGAGAGAAAAAAGTCCCACTGGAACTGGACTGGCTCCAGGCACACATCAAGCAAAACCACAGATCCACAGTTAATCCAAGGTATTGCTGATGGGTGACAATCAGTAAGAGTCTTGGAGGTGTAGACAAATCTTTAGCTCTGTGAGCTAACAAAAGGGATGATCTGGGATGTCTGCACAAAAGGGATCAAAAGGGATGTCTTCACAAGTCTGAGTGTGTCTGGGTCTCTGCTATACTTAGTATATGAAAGATTAGAGTACTTTTACTAGGAAAGACCTTGCCCTTCTCTTCCTCCCCTCCTGAGAGAGTGAGCAGAATCTCACCAGCTGGACTTTACTCTCAGATCAGGTTGACCCACTCCATAGTGTAGGATCCGATGGGTGAAACATTTCAACGGTTGGGTAATTTCCTCCAAACGGGTAGTGAGCTAGTTAGGTGCACTTACCTCAGCATCAATTACGTCCGTTATGTATCGTGGAGTAAGCAGCGGCATCCGGACATACTGCAACAGATCTGGGAGAAAATCCTCTCGTTCCTGCTTGGAGTGTTTTACCCAATTTAACACAGCTTCAAACACAGGTTCCTCTGAATCTACCTGGAAAAGTAACAAATATTCCAATATACTCACTGTTCACGCACAGAAGTAATGCTTCAGCATTTCTGCTCTGCATCAAACAAACAGGAGGCAACAGCACATTTGCTTATTTTTATTTTGTTGTTACTACTTAAGAAACACAGAAATAAATATTCGCTGTTTTCATGACTTTTCACTGTAGGGGCAAAACCTTAGACAACTTTCAGTACTCCACACACCTCTGTTTATCTGGCAATAAGTAGGAACATGGTTGTTAGTCGATTGGCAGATCACTTTCCAGAGGTAATTAGCCCTTACACATCAATAATAATAATTTGGTCACTCAATCCACGACTGTTTGTGGGACGCTGCTGTGCTGTGCAATTGGCTGTCACATTTCGCCCACAAAATATACAGTTAATTCACTTTACAGTATATTCTGTGAAGCGCTTTGAGACATCCCAATAATTTGATAAGGTGGTATATAATAATCCTTGCATTTGATATAGAGCCTTATCACCTCTTCGAGACGTCTCAAAGCACTTCGCAGAATATACTGTAAAGTGAATTGACTGTATATTTTGTGGGCGAAAATGTCAAATGCAAGGATTATTGTTATTATTATAAAATGGTATCTCTGAAAAAATACCAGCATTAAGATGAGGAACTCTAATGCACAATGACAAGGGCTTATAGATGCACTTAGTGCTCCAGAGTTGACTTCACAAACTTGTGTCAGTCTACATCAGAGACACACATCACTGGCTCATCTTAATGTAAACCTAGGCACCAAGAACCCTCTGAAACTACAACTTGCAAAGAATTTGGATTCTTGGATTGAAAAAACTGCTTGGTGGAGGTAATGGAACACAACTACCATAATAATAATCCTTGCATTTGATATAGCGCCTTATCATGTCTTCAAGACATCCCAAAGCACTTCACAGGATATAATGTAAAGTGAAGTGAGAGGACCTGGGTTCGATTCCCAGGCAGGGCGAAATGTTGGGCAAGTTTCCTTACTCCACACGGCTTTGTTTACCTAGCAGTAATTAAGAACTCAGATGTTAGTCAATTGCCAGATCAGTTTTCCGGGGGTAATAATCCCTTCAAAATAAATAAATAAAATAGTAATAATTTGGTCACTTAATTCCCGACTGTTTGTGGGACACTGCTGTGCGCAGGGCTGCCACGTTTCACCCACAAAATATACGGTCAATTCACTTTACAGTATATCCTGTGAAGCGCTTTGTGACGTCTCGATAAGTCGAGGAGATAAGTCGCTATATCAAATGCAAAGATTATTATTACTATAATTATAATCCACAAGTGCCGTCTTTAAGATTCTAAAGGGGCAAGACCATATAGACCATGACAAGCTGTTTCAACTAGTCCAGAATTGTAAAACCAGAGGACACAGTCAGTGATTGAAGGGATGTAAATTCAGAACAAATCTACACAGCTACTATTTCAGTGAGTGAATAGTGAACCTGTGGAACAGACTCCTTAGGGAGATGGTTGAAACAGGAAGTTTTGATTCTTTCAAACACAGATTAGATGGTTTTCTTTTAGGAAATAACATTATGGGTTACAGTACATAGGTAGTTCGGGACATATGTGAATGCGACCGCCAGGAAGGTGGAAGGTGAACTATATGGACCTTGGGTCTTTTTTCGTCTAGCGTTTCTTAGGTACTTATGTTCTTAAGAGTGATTCATACCCAGTTAAATTCTCTATGACACTGTGAAGCCCCACCTGAATCTCATCACACCTGATCAGCTTCTCCACATCCTCCTTGTTCAGCAGCATGAACTCTTCATGTTGGACGACCTCAGGGAAGTTCTTCTGGCTGAAGACCTCTGCGGCTTGCATCAGGTCCACACAGCTGTGGGTCTCTGCAAAATCCTGGATCCCTAAGCAGTTTGATGGGTCCAACTGGCTCTCCAGGAACTCACAGCAAGCCTGCTTCACCCCTGGTGAACAACATGCACGAGAGGAGATTTATCAGATCAGTCTAGATTCTCGCCTCACATTCATTACCATTCCTCCAATTCTCCAGGAGCCAGCGATCAGTAGATCTCTGTGCTGAATTTCAAATTGCTTCATAATCTTACCCACCCTATTGCTGCAATATCCTCCACTCTTCCAATTTCGCTTGTTCCTCTGTCCCACCAACAATGGTCACTTGGTCTCCCATGCTCCGCAAACCTATTGCCTTGCACTCTCCACCTTCAAAACCATTTTAAAATGTATACAGGGCAACCCCATTATAACAATACAGTATATATTTATATAATTGCTTTTCACATCAGGAGCACGTCTCAGCTGCTTAATGCTAGCTGGACAACCTTAATAATAAACCTTGCATTGGATACAGCGTCTGATCACATCTTCAAGATGTCTGAAAGCGCTTGACCGATACTGTAAAGTGAATTGACTGTATATTTTGTGGGCGAAACACAGCAGCCAATTGCGCACAGCAGTGTCCCACAAACAGTCGTGGATTGAGTGACCAAATTATTATTATTATTTTTTTAAGGGATTATTACCCCCAGAAAAGTGATTCGCCAATCGACTAACAACCGGGTTCCTTTTTATTGTGGTAAATAGAGGAGTGTGGAGTAAGGAAACTTGCCCAACATTTTGCCCTGCCTGGGAATCAAACCCAGGTCCTCTCGCTTGTGAGTGCACTAACCACTGAGCTACAGGACTCCACACGAGGTAGGCAATGGGTCAGACAGTGATCTGAATCCATCAGCTCAGACATCCTCATTAACATAAAGTGCGTTCTAAAGGGATCCTGCTGAATACTCAAACTGTGTCTGGACAATTTCCTTAAATCGCCCTCCCTTGGTTCTGTTTGAGGGGTTACCCTAAGTGCAAAGCAATTAGTTGTTAAGAATCACATAAAATGCTTCATTAAAGGTTTCAAAATCTGATGGTGACATCCCTGTCAGCACCAAGTTAGCCAGAATGTAACCTGGATACCATCAACACCACCAAAACAAGTGATTCCAACAGGTTACTCTGGGTTCCAGGTCAAATCAGACCCATTAGCCAAGCAGCCACAAGGGATGCTTCACCTTGGACCAGGGAGTCCAACCTTTTGGCTGCTGAGGATCGGGATCCCTATTTGAGAAACGTCTGTGAGCCGCACAAGCAATACTCGTGTATTTCCCTTCCAGAAACATAACATAACATTTACGGGTTATGGAGGGAGCGGGTGGGCCAGACAAAATGGAGGGGGGGGGGGAAGAGATGAACTCGGCAGTTAGACCACCTTGCTCTAGACCAGCGTGGACCAACAGGCGGCTCAGTGGGTGACATTACATGGCAACATTCCAACTTGCGCTCCCTCCCTTCCTGGTGAACGTCCTCCCAGAGCAGCGTCAGGAGCCGGCGGTTGGGGGGACACAGCGCAGAGAGTGGAAGTAATACCGGCCGTTACTGCATTGTGTACTGGAGCCAAGGGGAAGGGAAACCCGTTTCCTTATCCACTGCGTCCTTAGCAACTGCGCCGGCTCCGGCCGCTGCACATAGTGAACTGCAAGGCTGATTGGGAGAGAGATTAAGGGACGGGGAGAGGGGGACAGAGAGAGAGAGGGAGAGAGAAAGGGATTGAGAGAAGGGGAGAGAGGAGAGGGATTGAGAGTGGGGAAGAAAGAGGGAGGAGAGAAGGGGAGGAGAGGGAGGGGAGGGGGACAGAGAGGGAGGAGACGGGGACAGAGAGGGAGAAGAGGGGGACAGAAAAGGAGGACAGAGAGGGAGAGAGGAGCACTGAGAGAGGGAGAGAAACAGAGAGGAAGGGGAGAGTGAAACAGACAGAGGGGAGAGAGAGGGGGATTGAGAGAAAGAATGTGTCTGTGTGTGAGAGAGGAGAGAGAGAAAAAGAGGGGGGGAGAATGAGAGAGGGTGATTGAAAGAGAAGGGAGAGAGAGTGATTGAGAGACAGGGAGTAAAATAAACTGAGAGGAAGGGAGAAAGCAGAGCAAGAGAGTGAATGAGAATGTGTGAGAGGGGAGAGTGTGAGACAGAGTGTGTGAGAAAAGGAGTGTGCGCTCGAGAGAGTGCGTGAGAGAGAAGGGAGAATGATTGAGAGAGAGAGAACATGAGGGAGAGGAGAGAGTGAAACAAAAAGAGTGAGAGCAGAGAAAGAGAGAGAAGTGATGACAGTGTTTCGTGGTTCATAGAATCATAGAATTATACAGCACAGAAAGAGGCCATTCGGCCCATTGCGTCTGTGCCGGCTCTTTTAAAAGAGCTTCCAAATCAACCACACTCTCCCGCGCTCTCATAGCCCTGCAAACTTATCCGCCCCAAAGACAAACTTGTTCACTATCAGGACAGATGATCGGAGTCTCTCTTAGCCGCTGCAGGTGGAGGGAAACAAAGGACAGTCACCGAGATAAGTACCGTGTAGTTTCCTGACAGAAAGCTACCTCTTTCTCCTTTCTACGTCCTTCATTCCTCTCCCCAAACAACTACCCACCTCTGCGACCTCCCAACCCACCTGTTCCCTCTGCCCAGCAAACACCGGCTTGCTTCATGCCCCAAAACACATCTGCCCCGCCATCGCCATTTTGCCCTCACTCTCTGCAGTTCCATTCCTGGAGTCCCTCTGACTCGCTCCCTCCCTCCTCTCTTTCAAAGCACATCAAGATAAACTGTTTGACCATGCTTCTGGTTATTTTTTCCCCTCCCGATCCCAACTCCCTCGGCTCCCACTCCAGCTCAGGAGGCCCCGATGACAGCGTCAAGCGCTTTGAGATGTCCTTCCAACATGAAAACAACAACAACAGAATTACATTTATAGAGCGCCTTTCACGTCGGGAAGACGTCCCAAAGCGCTGAACAGGTGTCAGGGCCCGAGCATGGGGGAGGGGTGGGGTAGGGGTGAGGGAAGGCAGAGAGGTGGGAGGGAGACCAAAGGCACAGTCGAAGAGAAGGGTCTTGAGACCAGCCTTGAAGGAGGCAAGAGAGGAAGCGAGGTGAAGGGACCGTGGGATGGAGTTCCAGAGTGTGGGGGCAGAGAGGCTGAAAGCCCGGCCACCGATGGTAGGGCGGGTTGGGCGGGAGACATGGAGCAGACCGGAGCCCGATGAACGGAGGGAGAGGGCAGGTTGGTGTGGGGTCAGCAGGTCAGAGTTAGGAGGGGGCGAGGCCATGGATGGCCTTAAAGGTGAGGACGAGGATCTTGAACTCAATCCTCTAGGGAATGGGAAGCCAGTGGAGTCGGGCGAGGGTGGGAGTGATGGGGTCGGGCAGGGTGGGAGTGATGGGGTCGGGCGAGGGTGGGAGTGATGGGGTCACGAGCCTGGTGCGCGAGAGTACACGAGCTGCAGAGTTTTGGATGATCTGCAGCTTTTGAAGGGAAGAGTTGGGAAGGCCGATGAGGAGGGAGTTCCCATAATCAAGCCTCGAGGTGACGAATGTACGGGTGAGGGTTTGGGGGCCTGAGGGGTGAGGCAGTGGCGGAGTCTGGCAATGTTGCGGAGGTGGTGGTAGGCAGTGCCGGTCATGGCGCGGATGTGGGGGAGAAAGGACAGTTCAGAGTCAAACAAGGTTTCTGACTGGCTTCGTGAGGTTGAGTGTGCAGTCGTGGAGGGTGATGCTGCCAGCGCCCGAGGCACTGGTGCGAGGCAATCAGGAGGGCCTCAGTCTTGCTAACATTGAATTGGAGAAAGTTGTCCCTCGTCCAGGACTTGATGTCGGACAGGCAGTCGGACAGGACGCCAGTAATCCTGGAGTTGAGAGTGGAGGCAGAGAGGTCGAGTTGGGTGTCATCCACATACATGTGGAAATTTACCCCATGTATGTGGATGATGTCACCAAGGGGGAGCATGTAGAGGGTGAAGAGGAGGCGACCGAGGACAGAGCCCTGAGGAACGCCGCACGAGATGGTGCGGGAGCTGGAGGAGAAGCTGTTTGCCGTAACGAAGTGGACGCGGTGTGAAACGTAGGACCTGAACCAGTCAAGGACAGAACATTGAAGGTTGAGATGGGAGGAGAGGAGGTAGAGAGGTCGAGGAGGTTGAGGAGGCAGAGGGAGCCCTGGTCACACATGGTCAGGATGTTGTTTGTGACCTTGACCAAAGCAGCACGAAACTCGATTGGAGAGGTTCATGGAGGGAGTGAGAGGAGAGGAAAGAGCGAAGCTGGAAGGCAACGGCTCTCTCAAGGACTTTTGATAGGAAGGGGAGATTTGAGATGGGCCGGTAGCTAGATAGCTGTGATGGGTCAAGGGAAGGTTTCTTCAAGGTGGGGGTGATAGTGGCTGAAAAAGGTGCTGTGTAAATGTTGTTATGTTTTTGGAAGGGAAACACAAATTATTGCTTATGCGCCCGCGGACCTTTCTCTAATAGGGAATCCGGCCCACAGCAGCCAAAAGGGTGGACCACCCTGTTCTAGACAATGGGAGGGTGGGGGGGGAGTGGTTGGGGACGGCGGGGAGAGTAGACAAGAAATAGGTCAGGGTTTCTGTTCCTGAATGTTCTTTAGTGACCCCTGTTGGAGATTGGACATTGGATAAGGGCTGTGTCAGTCTCGGTTGTGCTGATCCCCATGGTTTAGACTCACAAATACACTGCCAGCATCATGGAATGATCTCCAATGGAAGCACAAAAAATGGAAGTAACAACCACAGGGGAGGAAATTGGCAAGAAGCGATATAAACCTTCTCCCTCTGCTCCTCCTCCCAGAACAAACCCCATGAAACCTGAATTTGGGAATAATAATAATAACCCTTGCATTTGATATTGCGTTATCATGTCTTTGAGATGTCTCAATGCGCTTCACAGAATATACTGTAAAGTGAATTGACAGCAGTGTCCCACAAACAGTCATGGATTGAGTGACCAAATTATTATTATGAGTCTGGCACAGAGCTCACCTTTGAGTTGGAGCAGGCAGGCAGCAGGAAGCAGCTCCTGAACATTTTCTACTGTGACATGAACTGTTTCTGTGTAAACAAAGTCCAGGAGGATTTCCATGGTAGAGGAGGTCAGGCCCTGGATGTCGACATCCGGCTTCCCTTTCTCCGAAAGCTGTGAGGAGAAACGGTAACTCAGCTATTTAGAGAAGAACCTCCAGCTCTCCCTGTTGTTTAAAAAATATTTATATACAGCACAGAAGAAGGCCATTCGGCCCATCGTGTCTGTGCCGGCTCTTTTAAAAGAGCTGTCCAATTCAATCCCAGTCCCCCGCTCTCTCCCCACAGCCCTGCAAACTTGTCCTCCCCAAATAATTATCTGCTTCTCACTTAAAAGAAGTTATCAAATCAGCTTCCACCAGCCTTTCAGGCAATGCATTCCAGATCCCAACAACTCGCTGTGAAAACATTTCTCCTCACGTCCCCTCTGTTTCTTTTAACAACTATTTTAAATCAGTGTCCTCGGGTTACCGACCCTCCCACCAGTGGGAATAGTTTCTCTTTGTTCACCCTATCGAATCCCCTCATAATTTTAAAAACTTCTATTAAGTCTCCTCTTAACCTTCTTTCTCTGCTCCAAGGAGAATAATCCTCGCTTCTCTACCTCTCCTGATAACTGAAGCCCCTCATTCCTGGTACCATCCTGGTCAATCTTCTTTGCTCCCTCTCCAATGCCTTGACATCCTTCCTAAAGTGTGGGGCCCAGAACTGAACACAGTCTCACGCTGAGGCCTAACCAGTATTTATAAACAACAACAACAAGATTACATTTGTATAGCGCCTTAAAGGTTCATCATAACTTCCTGACTTTTGTATTCTATGCCCCTATTTATAAAGCCTAGTATTCCGTATGCTTTTTTAACAGCTTTATCTACCTGTCCTGCCACCTTCAAAGATTTACTTATATGAACCCCCAGATCTCTGTTCCTTCACCCCCTTAAAGATTATACAGTTTATCTTATATCTGCCATGTGTCTGCCCATTTTACCAGTCTGTCTATGTCTTCTTGCCGTTACTATCACTTTTACCATCACTTTTCCTAGCTTAGTATTATCTGCAAACTTGGAAAATATACACCCTATAACCAAGTCCAGATCATTTATACAGAACAAAAACAGCAGTGGTCCCAATACCAAGCCCCGGGGACACCACTGCACACATGCCTCCAATCAGAAAAACAACCGTTCACCACAACTCTCTGCTTTCTGTCTCCCAGCCAGTTCTGCTTGTTGGCCTTCAGAGCTCCACCCTCCATTAGCTCCAACAAATAAAAATAACACTGTCTCTTTAATACCATGGGCTTCTATTTTTCTTACAAGTCTCTTATGTGGTACTTTATTCAATGCCTTTTGAAAATCTATATAAACTACATTAACTGCACTACCTTCATCCACCCTCTCTGTCAGGTTTGTTAGACATGATTTGCCTTTAACAGATCCGTGTTGACTGTCCATTATTAACCCATATTTTTCTAAGTGAAAATTAATTTTGTCCCGGATTATAGTCTCTAGAAGTTTCCCCACTACTGACGTTAGGCTGACTGGCTTGTAGTACCTGGGTTTATCCTTCTGCACCTTTTTGTACAGGAGAGTAACATTTGCAACCCTCCAGTCCTCTGGCACCAACCCGGTGTCCAAGAAGGATTGAAAGATTATGGCAAGAGCCTCCGTTATTTCCACCCTTACTTACCTCAGTAACCTAGGATGCAACCCGTCTCAACCGGGTGACTTGTCTACCTTGAGCACCGTCAACCTTTTTAGCACCTCCTCTCGGTTTATTCTTATCTTATCCCATTTGTCTACCCTCTCCCCCGATGCTGTGGCATTGGCTGCATCCTCTCCTTTTGTGAAGACAGATGCAAAGTACTCATTCAGTATGTCAGCCTTGTCCTCTGCCTCCACAAGAAGATTTCCTCTTTGGTCCCCAATCAGCCCCACCCTACCTCTGACTAACCTTTTATTCTTTGTATTCTTATAAAATACTTTAGGGTTCTCTTTTATATTACCCTCTTGTCTTTTCTTATACAATCTCTTTGCCCCTCTGATTTCCGTTTTCAGTTCTCCTCTGCACTTTCTACATTCTATTTGATTATCTATTTGAATATTGTGCTAAGCGGACACATACCTCAAAACACAGGGCATGCAGTGCTGCAATTACCAAACCCCACTTTACTACATGCGCTGTGTGTGACAGTCTGAAGCAGGAATGGGTGCAGAAAGTACTCCTTTGAGAGCTTTGAGATGTCTCAAAGACATGATAAGGCGCTAAATATTATACCAGGTATTACATTACATTATTCAGAACTTGAGCTGTTCAGACACAGAACTTGAGATGGGGATGTACCACAGCACAGTAGTGTCAGAACAGAATTGCTTTGATTATTACCTCCCAGAAAAGTGATCCGCCAATCGACTAACAACTGCGTTCCTACTTACAGTATATTATGTGAAGCGCTTTGAGACGTCTCAAAGACGTGATAAGGTGCTATATCAAATGTGAAGATTATTATTATTACTGGGTGAACTGACATGTGGAGTAAGGAAGCTTGTCCAATGTTTCATCCTGCCTGGAAATTGAACCCAGGTCCTCTCGCTGGCAAGTCGAGTACTTTAACCACTATGCTTTTTAAGTTTCCTCAAGGTGCTGAAAGTGGCCCTCAAACAATCAGTGCAAATGTATTCGCAGTTCCCAGCTTCTTTGCACTGGTGCCAATTGCCCCCAATTATATACACACAAAGCACAAAACAGGTCTGCTGGTCTCGATTGAATTTTCTTATGGCTGACAATCTGAATCAGTGGTTCTGTAAATGCTGAACTTTTATTTAATCTGTTTTATGATCTGATAAGATTATGGAAAATGTGTTGATGTTTTCAATGCAATATGTTTGTTCACAGGCCAAAACTAACTTTTACTCCAAAGTCACCCTGGAGGCAAACAATAATCCAAAGATGCTGTTTTCCACCATTCATCACCTCCTCCGTGCCCCCCCTCAAGACCCCTCTATCCTCACATCAAAGGTCAAGTGCGAATAAGTCCTAGACTTCTTGTCTAAAAAAATTGAAAACATCCACTTGGCTGTGTCGTCCTCCCCTCTCATGCCCCCTTCCACCCCACCCAGACTATCCACACCGCCTTCTCCCTCCGCCATGGCTCCTGCCACTTCCCCCCTCCCTTCTCCCTCTCAACCACAATCACCCGGATGAAGTTTACTACCTGCTACCTCGACCCCCTCCTTACCCAGCTTCTGGTCACTCAACTTCCCCTTCTCGACCCCCTGCTGGCCGACACTGTCAACTAGTCCCCCTCTTCAGGCTCTGTTCCACTCCCCCCGAAAACCGCTGTCATCACACCCCTCCTCAAAAAACCCACCCACGTCCTCTGTAATCTCTAACACTACCATCCCATCTCCAACCTACCCTTCTTTGCCAAAGTCTTGGAACCCATTGCTGCAGGTCAACTTCGGTCACACCTCTCCCTCCTCGAGCCCCTGCAGTGTGGCTTTTGCCCTGCCCACAGAGACAGTGCTTGTCAAAGCCACAAATGACATTCTCTCTTATCTATGACCAGCGCAGCCTCTGCCTCCTCATGCTCCTAGATCTCTCTGCAGCGTTCGACACAGTCCAACACGCCATCCTCCTCCACCGCCTCTCCTCTCTCATCCACCTTAGTGGGACCGCACTTGTATGGTTCTAGTCCTACTTAACCAACTGCCTCCACTTCATCGGCAAACGGTTTCTCCTCCCGCTCCCACCCGGTCACCTGCGGGGTACCTCAGTGCTCCATCCTTGACCTCTTCTTTTCCTCATCTATATACTCCCTCTTGGCAATGTCATCCGCAGACACTGGATAAACTTCTACATGTATGCGGTTGACACAAAAATCCTCCAGTATTCACTCCAGGTTCGCCAATATCCTATCAGCTTGTCTGGCAGATATCTGGGCCTGGATGAGTGCAAATTTCCTGCAGCTGAATGTGGACAAGATGGAAGCCATACTCCTTGGCTCCCGTCAAAGTCTTCACTCCTGCGGATCTGAACTCCTCAACCTCCCTGGGCTCTCCCTCAGACTCACTGTGCGCAATTTAGACATCTGGTTCGACCCCCAGCTGTTCTTCTTCCCCAACATCCGGTCTGTGACCAGAACCGATTTCTTCCATCTCCGCCACATTGCCCGCCTCTGACTGTACCTTACCCAAATGCAGCCCAAACCCTCGTCCATGCGTTTATCACCTCCCACTTGGATTACTCCAACTCACTCCTCGCCGGTCTCCCCAGCTCCACCATTCACAAGATCAGCTCAGTCGGACTCTGCCGCCCACATACTGACCCGGACCAAATTCCGTACCCACATCTCACCAGTTATGGCCCAGGCTCCACCATTGACTCACCATCACCGAACCGATCGACTTCAAGATCCTCACTCTTGTGTTCAAATCCATTCACTCCCTGGCACCTCACTACCTCTCCGACCTCCTCACTCCCCACTCCACTACCTGGCACCTCCACTTGACTGGCATTGGCTCCTGCTCGTCCCTAGCACCCTCCATCCCACAATCGGAGGTCACGATTTCAGCCACTACGCCCCAAAACTCTGGAACACTCTCTCTCAATCCCTCTTCCTTGCCTCCTCTCTCTTTCAAGTCCCACCTGAAAACTTTCATCTTCGACCATGCTTACGTCCACCTCCCCGCCTCCGCCCTGGCTTGGAGTCAGGCTCCGCCACCGTTAAGTGCTCTGAGACACTACCTTGCATGGAAGGCGCTATATAAGTGCAAGTTGTTGTAGTATGTTTGAAAGTGCTGATACAATGCAAGTTGCCACGTACTTAAGGATGAAGTGAGAGCTATGGGTATAGCTCTAAAGTGACTTAAATGCTCCTGGAAACACGAGAAGTTTAAGTCAGGGAAATGGAATCAGATAGAGCTCAATGGTGACAAATTTCAGGCTGAGGTCAGTTGTTTTGCTGAGGTTTGCATGTGAAATAACACCCACTGCTCCGAGAAGATAATAATAACAATCCTTGCATTTAATATAGCACCTTATCACGTCTTCGAGATGTCTGTAAAGTGAATTCACGTATATTTTGTGGGCCAAACGCGGCAGCCAATTGTGCACAGACAAACAGTCATGGATTGTGTGATCACATTTTTTTTAATTTGAGGGATTATTACCCCCGGAAAAGCGATCCGCCAATCAACTGACAACCGGGTTCCTACTTACTGTAAGAGAGGCATGTGGAGTAAGGAAACTTGACCAACATTTCGCCTTGCCGGGATCAAACCCAGATCCTCCTGCTTGCAAAGTGAGTGCTCTAATCACTCAGGACTCTACAAAGGTCAGCTTACCTCACTGGTGAACATGGCGCAGAAGTAATCACTGCACGCTGCCAGCACAATACGATGAGCAGGAAAGTCCTTGCTGTCCACTCGCAGTGTGACATCGCACAGGGTATTACTCTTCCTCAGGGAGTTCATAGTGTTCAGTATAGACTTGGCATGTGAGTTGGTCATTATATCCCGAGGAGCCATGTTGAGCCTTTCCACCTTGACAGACCGTGGAGAAGGTTCTCGAGGTTAAACACTTAGAAATAAACAAATAAAATATTGTACTAACAATCAGGATAGTTAATTGCTCGGAGAAAATCTCCTCTAATATTTTCTACACATATTATAACTTTGTACAATTTATACAATTTTGTACAAAGCTATACATCATTTAATATACAACAACAACAAAAATTACATGTGTAAATGGTCTTTCATGTCAGGAGGACATGCCAAGGCACTGGCCAGAAAGAGTTTCGGACCCGAGCCGGGGGGCTGGGATTGGGGAGAGTGGAGGACAGGGGAAGAAGCAGGGAGATCGGAAGCATGGTGAAAGAGGGTCTTGAGATGGGTCTTGAAGGAGGCCAGGGAGGAGGCAAGGGAGGGGCGAGGCGGAGGGACTGCGGGATGGAGTTTCAGAGGGTGGGGGAAGAGTGGCAGAAGGCCTGCCCGCCAATAGTGGGCCGAGCGAGGCGGGGGACGTGAAGCAGGCTGTCACCCGCTGAGTGGGGGGAGCGAGCAGGATGGTAGGGTGTTAGGAGGTCACATAGGTAGGGGGAGCAAGACTATGTGCTTTGAAGGTGAGGACCAGGATCTTGAACTGTATTCTGTGTGATGGTAAGCCAGTGGATTTGGGCGAGGATGAGGATGACAGGGTCATGTAATATACATTGCAATATTTGATACAATATTTAACAAATGAGTGTACGATCTATCATTAAATAAAAACAAAAGTCGCTGAGAACACTCTCTCAGCAGGTTAGGCAGCATCTATGGAAAGAGGAAAGTGAGTTCACATTTCAAGTCGATGACCTTTCGTCAGAACTCTCTCCGTAGATGCTTCCTGACCTGTTGAGTGTTCCCAGCGATTCCCATTATTTTGCCTTTATGCCTTTTGTATGATCTATCAGGTTTGTATGAAATTAAAACCAACCTCTAACAATTCAATAGGTATCAAGTTAATTACTATTGGCTAGTACTAATTCACAATATTTATACTTGACAACATTCTCTCCATCTGAAACCAGGGCTCACTTTTCCTTCTTGTCCTCCTTGACCTCTCTTTTGCATTCAATACAGTGGACCATTCCATCCTTCGCCACCATCTCTCATCCAATCTCCACCTCTTTGATTCTGTCCTTTCCTGGTTTCCCTCTTACCTATCCAAACATCTGCACTTGTCTCCTCCAATAGCTTCTCCTCCCAGCCCACAGTCACATGTGGTGTTCCTCAGGCTCTATCCTTGGTCCTCTCCTCTTCACCATCTATATGTTCCCATCCAATTCTATCGCTCTCCCCCTACCTTCAATTCCAGGACCACTACTGTTCTGACCAACCGTAAGTCAGACACTAAGTCCTAAATGAGTCAATAAGACTGAGGCTCTCCTGCCATCAGAGCTTTCTCACCTCATGCACGCATTGACCTGCATGGGCCACTCCCCCTTAAGAGCTGGTGCTCAACTCATTGATTTGTCTGACCCACAAAAGACTGTTTTATGATGCAGTTTGTAATAGAGCCAACAGGGGAGAAAACATCTTGGATTTGTTAATGAGTAACAGGAATGTTCAAATCTGCAACATAAATGTGGGAGAAGCATTAAGCAAAAGCGATCACAGTGCCATCACATTTGACATCTCAAGGATCGGTGAGTTTATAAAAACCTAAACAAAGCTGCCAAATTTCAAGAGGACCAACTTTGTGCGCTTGAGAAGTCTTGTCGGAGAGGGCCTGGCTAGCTTAAAAATGGTGAATGGAGTGGAGGAACTATGGAGTTCTTTCAAGGAGGTGATTATGAAAGCAATGGAACAATGTGTATCCATGCGAAGCAAAGGTACCAAGCTTAACAGCACTCTGCCTGATCGGACGGGCCTACGAAGCAATTCATAAAGAGGGAAAAAAAGGCATTTAAGACCATGAAGGAAAATGGCACAGAATTAAGTCGGACTCTATACCAGAAGGCATGCCAAGATTGTAAAAAAAAAGGCGTCAGAATGGCAAAGAAAATCTTCGAATTGAACATGGTAAGAGCTGTACATAATAGCAAAAACGTTTTCAGTTACATTAAGAGTAAAAGAAAACCAAGTGACGGAATAGGGCCACTGAGGGTGGGTTCAGGAGAGGACATGACAAATAATGCTGCACAGGCTGCAATAGTGCTAAATACGTTTTTTGCATCACTTTTTATAAAAGAGGAGACAGTTAACTTGATCTGGAAAGAGAACTCAAGGATGTCCCAGAGGAAAGTAGCAGCACTAGTCATATCACTACCAGCATGGTTGCCAAACAGCTGTGTAAACTTAAGGTAAATAAATCGCATGGCCGGATAAATTGCATCTGAGGATCCTCAAGGAACTAAGGGAGGAAGCGCAGAAATGGCACAAATCTTTCAGAAATCACTGAATACTGGAGAGGTGCCAAGGGACTGGAGAAACACACATGTTGCTCCTATTTTTAAGAAAGGTAACAATCGTGACTCAGGAAAATATAGACTAGTAAGTTTGACATTCATTGTGGGTAAAATTATGGACTCTTATTAAGGATAAAATCATGAAGCACCTGGACAGAAATAAAAACATAAATGATAGCCAATGTGGGTTCATGCCAATCTAATTTACTGTTTTTCTTTGACGGTATGACAGGGGAGCTTGATAAGGGTAAGGCCGTTGCATATCTGGATTTCAGTAAGATCTTTGATATAGTTCCTCTTGAGAGGCTGGTACTGAAAGTAAAGAAAGCGGGAATCAGTGCAAGTATATTACAATGGATACACAACTGGTTGACCGGAAGAACCCAGAGGGTGATGGTACAGGGAATGTCCTCAGACTGGGAAAATGTTACCACTGGAGATCCATAAGGGTCTGTTTAGGGACCTCCTTTTGTTTAATACTTTTATAAATGATCTGGAACTAGGAGTCACAAACACAGTGGCTAAGTTTGCAGATGACACCAAGCTGATGAAGGTGATAGATTGCAAAGCTGAACAAGATTGGTTACAGGAGGATTCGGGGGACCGGTGGCAGATGAAATTCAATGTGGGGAAATGTAAAGTACTTCACATGGGGACAAAAATTTCAAGAAGGAACTATTATTTGAACGGACAGAAAATAATATGTATGGAAGATGAAAAGGACCTGGTAGTCCTGATTGACAATAAATTGAAGCTCCCCCAACAATGCTCTGTGGCAGTAAGTAAAGCAAACCAGATGTTGGGATGTATCAAAAGATCAATTGCAGCCAAAATAGTTGGGTAATTCTGCCACTGTATAAATCATTGGTGAGACCATATTTAGAGCACGGTGTACATATTTAGAGCACTGGTCGCCACAGTACAAAAAGGAAATGGGAGAAATCAGGAAGATACAGAGGAGGGCAACCAAAATGATTGAGGGAGTGGAAGGACTGGACAAAGAGATAAATATATAAATTGGTTAAGTTCATGCTGGAAAAGAAAAGATTAAGAGGCGACATGATTGCTGTCTTTAAGATTCTAAAAGGGCAAAGCAATATAGATCATGACGGGCTGTTCCAACTTGTCCAGAATAGTAAAACCAGAGGACACAGCCTGTGGTTGAAGGGGGGTAAATTCAGAACAAAACTATGTAAACACCATTTCAGTGAGAGAATAGTGAACCTATTGAACCTAGTGAACATAGTGAACAGGCTCCCTAATGAGACAGTTGAAGCAGGAAATGTTGATTCCTTCAAACACAGATTAGATTGTTTTTTGGGGGCAAATAATATTATGGGATACAGTACATAGGTAGTTCAGGACATATGTGCATGCGACCACCAGGAAGGTGGAAGGTGAACTAGATGGACCTTGGTCTTTTTTTCATCTAGCATTCCTTATGTTCTTATAGAATTGGATACATATTCGAAAAGAACAAAATTGCAAGGCTGTGGGAAAGATCGAGGAAGTGGGTCTAGTTGGAAGGCTCTTTCAAAGAACCGACACAGACACAATGGGCCAAATGGCCTCCTTTTCAGCTGTAGGATTCTATAAACAATAGCTGTACAGTATATACGTAATTTAAATATTTTGGATTAATGTATAGAAATACAATTCTGACAAATATTGAATGGGACAAAGTTCTTATATTCATCTGTATTGAAAAGCCTTATTTATTCTTACATTTACTCACTGAGCCAGAGTTACTTGTTCTTACACTACGCCATGTAGTCTTTCCAGGTCTTTCTGCGCTCCCAGGACCGACCAAGGTCAATTTCATGGGTCACTGAGTCTGAATTCCAGTTACTTCCAGCTTTTCCCAGTTACACCTACTGTAATACAGTAAATTAGAAAAATATTAAGTAGTGCAATAAACAAAGAAGAAAAATAAGATAGTGGTCATTGCCAACTACCGGCAAAATATAATATTCCCACCACATTCCATGACAAATGCTCTTTGGAAAAAAATCATTTTTCTTTCTCTTCTCTCAAAAGCCCAAAGTTCCAACTTGTGAATCCACAACCTTCTGACTCAGGAGCAAGAGTGGAACCAAACTGATGATCCATAAGCTTCCCAAGGTTAAAATCAAGTAAATGTTACTGTAACATGAATTACCCCATTAGCTCACAGCACAAACTGTAAACCCACATCCCAATGGCTCATCTGTCAAAGCCACTAGCGAGCACAACACTGAGACACATAGACATAGAATGTTCCCAGTTTAATGCTTGGTCTGTGCTCACTTTTCTGATCTCTGCCAGGGTTACTTAGCTGAGTGGCAGCGCTCTCGCCTCCGAGTCAGAAACTTGTGGGTTCAAGTTCCACCTCGGGAATTGGAATCACACAATCTAAGCTGACACTCCAATGTGGTGCTGGGGGTGTGCTGCATTGTCAGAGCTGCCGTCCTTTGGATGAGACATTAAACCAAGATCCCATCTACCTATTCCGATGGATGTTAAAGATCCCACGGCATCATTCGAAAAGAGAAGGGTTTCTCCTGGTAACCTGGCCAACAATCCCCCAAATAAAAGTGGGACATTTGTGGGACATTGCTGTGTGCAATTGACTGCTGCATTTCAGCCACAAAATACACAATATACAATAGTCCCAAGATGTCAAGTGTCCTCCCAAATTGAAAGACGCTGTACAAATGTAATTTTGTTGTGGTTGTAAATCCTGTGAAGCGCTGTGAGACGTCTCTACAATGCACTATACCAAATGCAATGATTATTATTACAATCGGTCTCAGCTTGTTGCCTATTGCACTCGCCTCGCAAGCGAGAAGACCTGGGTTTGATTCCCGGGCAGGGCCAAACATTGGGCAAGTTTCCCTACTCCATACACCTCTATTTAGCAGCAGTGAGTAGGAACCCAGGTGTTAGTCGATTGGCGGATTGCTTTCCCAGGGACAATAATCCAATAATTCAAAACAATAATAATATTTTGGTCACTCCATCCGGCGCGGTTTGTGGGACGCTGCTGTGTGCAATCGGCTGCTGCGTTTCGCCCACAAAATATAGTCTATTCACTTTACGCAGCATCCAGTGAAGCGCTTTGACGTGATACGGCACTGCATCAAATGCCAGGATTATTATTATTATTATTATTATTAATAAGGGGCTGAGTAGGTCCCAGAGGGCAGCCCGGCATGAGGCAGCATGGTGGGGGGGGGGGGGGAGTGATGGTCCCGGGCTCCCCTCCCCCTCCCCCTCCCCACACCCGGCCCTGGTTTGGGGGATAATTTTCACACCTCAGGACGTGTCGCCAGAACCCGCTGCTCCCACCACCCCCGGCCCGCGGGCCGCAGCCATTACCCGGGCCATCTTCCAGACACCCCCGCTCCAAAACCCCGCCTCAGTGGAGGCCTCGGCCCTTCCCGCTGCCTACACCCCTCCCCCCCAGGTCTGCGTGTCGGCTGCCATTGCCTCGCGTACCGGGGGGCCGCGCAAACCGGGCCGTGTCTCCCATCTCTGCCGCCGACCCTCGAGTGAACGAACTGGACTACAACTCCCACAATACCGCGTGCGTCGGTTCCCGTCCCGCGCATGCGCACATGCGTACGTACCGACGCGTTGACGTCGCCGGCATTGTTGACCGGCTGGCCGCGTGACGTGCCCCCAGCTGAGTGGCTGAGGCCAGTGAGCGTCACTGAGTCACGTGAGCAAAGCCGCTCAGGCCATATGGAGATTTTTTTGAGGGGGGCGCGGCGTCAATCACGTGACTGACCCATCACCTGGTTAACACCATCCAAACCCAACTGAGAATTCCATGTATCCCATCTACACAGAGAGCCCAGAGACAGATTGCTGTGATGGAGTGCGCTCTCTCTCTCTCTCTCCCTGGAGGGACATGTCTTGCTTACGTAATTCTGGATAGTATTGGGCACAAGTTGGCCAGTGCCAAGGCTTGGGTGGGGGGCAACAGTGCGCGTTGGGGTGACCCCCATGGCTTGTACTGTGAATGTAAAATTGCAGTCTGGCAAGCTTTCCCACTGCCTGTCCACTAGATCAGGCCACCCTACCCGTCAGGCTTGCAAAGGTTAACAGGAGCACAGAGCTGGGTGGGATGACTTCCTGCCCCCAGAGACCGGTAATTAGATAAGCGCATGTAGAGATGGGAGTTGGCTTGGCTCAGTTGGTAGCCTTTTGGTCACAAGGTTATGGGTGGTTCAAGCATCAATTTGAGAATCTTGAGCTCTTTCTTGGCTGACACTCTTGTCGCAGAGCACTGTATTGGTGGTGCCATTCTGAGATAAGATATTAAGGTAATATTAAGATATTAAGGCAATCTGAGTTCTGTTGAATATTAAAGTTTCTGCCATTGCTGTTGTAAACAAGAAGGGAATTTGTATTATTGTTCTGGCCAACAATCTTCCAGATAATTGTCACGTCCAGGTTCCAAACTCCCTGCTCGCCAGTCTCCCCCAACTCTTCCCTCCACAGACTGCAGATTATCCAGAACTCTGCAGCTCATCTCCTCTCCTGCACCAGTCTCCGTAACCCCATCACCCCCATCCTTGTCCGGCTCCACTGGCTTCCCATCCCCCGGAGGATAGTTAAAAATCTTCATCCTCACTTTTAAAGCCTTTCCACAGTTGTACTCCTCCCTACCTCTGCAACCTCTGAATACCATACCAATCTTGCCTCTCCATGTCCTGGCCTGCTCCATGTCCCCCGCCCCACCCGCGCCAGCATCTCTACCCCCACCCTCTGGAACTCCATCCTCCTCAACCCCTCCCTCACCTGCTTCAAGGCCCACCTTAAGACCTTCCTCTTTAACTATGCCCACCCACACTCCTATTCCCACTCCCCCTACCCTCCAGTTATCTTGATTCCAACCCCTAGCTTGGGTGGGAACCCAGACACCTTCCGACGTGAGAGGTGCTTTATAAATGTAATTCGTTGTTGTAGTTGAGATATTGACTGTGTGGCAGTTTGTGTGACATTGCTTACAAATTGACTGCTGCGTTTGGCTACAAATGTGCAATAACTGCACTTTACAGCTATAACCAGTGAATTGCTTTGAAACATTTTGACAAATCAAATTTATTATCCTTGCAGAATAAATCTGACAGGTAAACAGCTGAGCTGCAGCAAGGAATTACCTCTTCATATTATTTTAAGTTTCCTTTTTTAAAAAAAACTTTCGAGACCTGTTAGATGGACTCAATGTTTTCCATAAAGGTCTCACCAGTGAAACGAGGAAGCAGTTGGATTTACAAATAACATGAAGCTAATATTGAGTTGACTCCAGTGGCGAGCTAATGCAAATATAGGCTTGATGGGCCTTTTGTTGTTCTCCAGTGAGGTCCCAAGCCTGGACGCAACACATTCTCAGCTTTGTACTGGGAGTGTCAGTTTTCTGACTCACTCGGCGAGAGCTACAACCTGAGCCAAGCTGACACCATAGCAATGGTCTGAGTACTCCCAATGCATCTGTAAGTTTAGAGTTTGCATCAAATCTCTCATAGAGCTTACGAATAGCCTAGACATCGCTTGGTACAACAATAATCCGCACAGATGGGATCACAAGTACCTTGTCACAACCCTTTCGAACCTCAAACACCTCTATCATCTCCCCCTTCAATCTCTGCTGCTCCAGTGTGTACAAAAAGCCAGCCGCTCTTCAGTATCTTGCTAGGTACTCTGCATCTCAACCTCTCCAACTCTAAGACATCTTTCCTGTAATAGGGAGCCCAGAACTGAACACAATATTTCCAAATGCAACCTAGCCAGTATTCCATACAATTTTAACATGACTTTAAAACCCTGGTTTATAAATCCCAGAATCTAGAAGATGAAGGGTTTGGGATTTTTTTTAAAAAAAGGAATGATTTATCATACCAATAGAAGCGTCTTCACTGCAGTTTAAGTGAAAAAGTCCACTGACCCAAAACTAATGAAACCCTCTGAATCCAGACCTCTGCATTCGCCAGAGACTGAGCCCAGCTCACTCTCAGCTCAACGATGGACAACAAAGCTTTTCTTGGTCTATTTCAAAGCTAGAACTATTATGTAACAATGCTTGTGTGGATATGAAATGCTCCCTCAGTTGTGTGTAGGATAACGCCAGGATTTCAGTAAATAATCCAGATTTGTCAGGCATCTCAGATATTTGTTCAAACTCTGCACCGATTTATTTTGATTACATCAGTGTAGACTGAGACGTGTGTGTAAATGTAGTCAAGATTTCATTATATTGTGTTAGTCTATTCGCTCTTATCATTTCTACCTGCCACCATAGTCTTCCAGCCCAGCCTCCACCAATGCAATTCATGAATCAGCCACTAGGCAGCGCACAAGAGCAGCCGGCTTCTCTCCCCTTCTCAGTGCAAATCAATGGGTTTGAAATAGTCCCTTCGATTGATGCAGAAATAATGCAGAGAGCATCAGCACCAGTTTGAGAATCTGCAAATAATCAACTTGCCACAAATAATAAATGTTGTTGAGTTAGACAGAGGCTGACCAGGCATACTGATCCCTTGTCCATGCAAGTGGCCTGGCCGTGCACTGCCTCCAGTCTAGCCGCGGCACAGCCCCTGAACTAGAATGTAATATAAATAATCCTTGCATTTGATACAGCGCCTTATCACATCTTTGAGACATCTCAAAGTGCTTCACAGAATATTTTGTAAAGTGAATTGACTTTATATTTTGTGGATGAAAACTGCCTGTATTTCACTCTGGACTACCTGTGTACACCCTCTACCTGTGTGAAGTCCAGGACTTTACCTGTGTACTTCAGCACTTGGGACTTCCTCCCGATGTGAAAGGCGCTATATAAATGCAATATGTTGTTGTTGTGTAGATCCTCTGGAGGACAATGCACAGCCCCTGGACTCTTATGTGTGCAGCCCTAGACTAGGGAGATGCAAGCAGCCCCACTGCCACCCTGGAACTCACGTCAGCTCATCACTGCTAATGCTTGTGAAGGAATTTTACATTTATATAGACAAAGGAAAAAAAGAAAGCCTAAAATAAATACTGTGCAAGATGTGCATTCATCAGCTATAAAGTGCTTCACACATCAGAACTATAATACCACTGACTCACAGTCTCAGCCCTTGGTGCAGAGACTGACTTGACCTGCTGAATGAATAGAGTAAAATTACATGGACCTCAATGTGTGTAGCACCTAAACTGTGTGTTTTGGGCAGTACCAGCCCGACTCCGGCACTGCTCGGGAACAGACAGCTCCCAACCGGAGCGCGGGAGCCCAGCACTAAACCACGTCTCATTTTTATTCTTCAGAACAGAACAGAGAAGAACAGGTGGCAGACAAGAGTTTGAGCCCAGTTTTGGGCCTAAGGAGCGAGGCGCTTTACCTGGGCTACACGTAGCTAACATTCACCCTCACCAATTGTAAAGTGACTACCAACCAAGTGTTATATTTTGGAGAGGAGGGTAAGGAGGGGCGAGAGATGTCATCTATATTCATTTGGAAAAATAAAATAAAATAAAACGTTCAATGCACTTGGGTCTCGTCATAAGAGAGGTCTGTAATAGTCCAGGCTTCAGAGCAGAGTGTCATCTGTACAGCCTCCCTCAAGTCCGTAACGAAATTCCTGGAGGTTGGAAACACCGTGGAAGTGAACGAAGGCAGCTGCTACCACCAGGACGTGGAATAGCTGGTGTGATTGGAACTGGGGAAAGGAGGAATAAAAGCATTAGATTAGGAACGTCAAGCTTGAGAATGCTTTAAACTGCTTCCCCAAGGAACAACAAAATTACATTTGTAAATCGTCTTTCACGTCGGAAGGATGTCCCAAGGTGCTGATCAGTTGGGAATCAGGACCTGAGTGTGGTTGGGCAGGGTTGGGATGAGTGAGAGCAGAGAGGTAGGAGGGCAGCTGAAAGCATGGTCAAAAAGGAGGGTCTTGAGTTGTGCCTTGAAGGAGGCAAGAGAGGGAGCAAAGCGAAGGGATTGTGGGATGGAGTTCCAAAGGGCAGAGAGGCTGAAAGTCCGGCCATTGATGGTAGGGCGGGTCGGGCGGGAGACATGGAGCAGGCCAATGCCCACTGAGCGGAGGGAGGGGGCAGGTTAATAGGGGTTTAACAGGTCAGAGAGGTAGGAGGGCACAAGGCCGTGGAGGCCCTTGAAAGCGAGGACGAGTATTTTGAATTCTATCCTCTGTGTGATGGGAAGCCAGTGGAGCCGGGCGAGGGTGGGACTGACGGAGTCACAGAGCCTGGTGCGGAGAGGACACAAGCTGCAGAGCTCTGGATGATCTACAGCTTGTGGAGGGAAGAGTTGGGGAGGCCGACAAGGAAGCAGTTTCCGTAATCGAGCCTTGAGGTGATGAATGTGTGTATGAGGGTTTTGGCGGCCTGAGAGGTAAGGCAGTGGTGGGGTCGGGCAATGTTGTGGAGGTGGGGGAGAAAGGACAATTGAGGGTCGAACAATACGCCCAGGTTCCTGACTGGCTTGGTGTGCATCCATGGAAGCTGATGGTGCCAGTGCAAGGTGCGGAGGCGCTGACGCAAGCCAATCAGGAGGGCCTCGGTCTTGCTGACATTCAGCTGCAGAAAGTTAGCTCTTATCCAGGACTTGATGTCTGACAGATATTCTGTCAGGATCGCAGTGGTCCTGGAATTGAGGGTGGAGGCCGAGAGAGTTGGGTATCATCCGTATACATGTGGAAGTTGACCCCATGTCTGTGGATGACGTTGCGTGTAGCGGTTGAGAGGAGAGGACGGAGGACAGAGCCCTGAAGAACACTGCACAAGACGGTGCAGGGGCTGGATTCTTGAGGTCAGAGGAGAGGCGGTGTAGGAGGAAGGACTGGTCTACGGTATTGAAGGCAGCAGGGAGATCCAGGAGGACAAGTAGGCAGAGGGAACCCTGGTCACAGATGTACAGGATGTCATTTGTAACCTTGACCAGACAGTTTCCGTGCTGTGAGTAGCACAGAAACCCAATTGGAGGGGCTCATGAAGGGAAAGGAGAGGAAGGACCTTGGAAAGAAAACAGAGATTGGAGATGGGCCGGTAGTTAGAAAGCAGGGATGGGTCCAGGGAAGGTTTTTTCAGGATGGGGGTGATTATAGCCGTTTTTAGGGGTGGAACACTGCCAGATGATAGGGAGAAATTGATGGTGTCGGAGAGTAGAGAGAGTAGGGAGGTGCAGCTGGGAGGTAAGAAGAGGGGTAGGGTTGAGGTTCAAGGGAGCAGGTGGTGTGTTTCATGCTGGATATGGTGGTGATGAGAGAGGAGGGGGAAATAGGTTCAAAGAAATGGAGGGGGGGACGGGTAGGGGTCGTAATTGGAGGGGGGAGAAGGGGAAGGAGTGGCGGTTGGGAGGGTGGAGGCAGCTGAATGGGTCCCCTCAATTTTAGACTTGAGGAAATCCAGCATTTCCTCACAGTCGGGAGCTTGAGGAGAGAATGGGCGAAGCGTGGGAGGATAGATGGAGGTGCCAGTTGGTGGAGAATAGGAGCCTGGACTTATCCTTCACCTCCACGATTTATCTTGCAGTAGAAAGCCGATTTGTGGAGGCGAGGGCAGAGTAGTATGTTTTGATGTGGTCCAGCCAGATCTGCCGGTGGACCATTAGATCAGACTTGAGCCAGGTGCGTTCGGCGGCCCTCACCTGACCCTTGAGGGAGCGGAGGTGGCAGGTGTACCAGGGTGAGGTTCATCAGTAGCAGGCGGTTTGGGAGGTGAGGGGAGCAAGGGCATCAAGAGTAGTGGAGAGGACGTTGTGGAGGAGAATGAGCGAGGAGGATAAATCAGTGCGGGAGGAGGGGGAGGAGTTCAGATGACTCCAGGGCAGCGGAGAGGGATTGCGGGGAGATTTTTTTTCCAGGGGCGGTAGGAGATGGAGGTGGGTTTGGTGACGGTGGGGAGAGGGATTGAGCAGTTAAAGGAGATTAAATGGTGATCGGAGATGGCTTTGTCTGTGATTGCGATATCTAAGACACTGAGGCCCAGGGTAATCACCAGGTCAAATGGGTGACCATGAACGTGGGTGGCAGAGTGTATGTGGAGGGAGAGGTTGTGAGAGGAGAGGAGAGAGAAGTCTGAGGAGATAGAGCAGGAGGGGGTGAAGCGAAGGTTGAAGTCACCGAGGATGAGGAGGCGTTCAGAACAGAGGCAGAGGGAAGCTAGAAGGGTGGAGACGTCAGAAATGAAGGTGGGGGAGGTTTTGGTGGGCGGTAAATGAGAAGAATTTTGAGGGAAAGATTGGAGGGATTGTAGCGTGTAAGGTGCTCGAATGAGGGGAAGATCTATCAATCTCAGATCCTTGCACTTTACTAACCAAATATCTCTCTATCCCATTGTAAACCTGGTCGCAGTTTCGAGACCACATCACACCCACCCTCGCTCACCTCCACTGGCTCCCCATCCCCCAGAGGATCGAATTCAAGATCCTCATCCTCACCTACAAGGCCATTCACAGCCTCGTTCCCTCCTACCTCTCCGACCTACTATCCCCCTACCTACCTGCCCGTACCCTCCGTTCCTCTGGCTCCGGTCTGCTCCACATCCCCCGCCCCAACCGCCCAACCATCGGTGGCCGGGCCTTCAGCCTCTCAGCCCCGAGGCTCTGGAACTCCATCCCCCAGTGGCTTCGCCGCTTCCTCCCTTTCCTCCTTCAAGGCCGGTCTTAAGACCTTTCTCTTCGACCGTGCCTTCAGCTCCCCTCTCGACTCTCTACCCCCTCCTCGCTCCCTCCCTTCCCTCCCCTCACCCTGACCATTTCCCCCCCGCTCGGGTCCCGACCCAACCGCCTTGGGACATCCTCCCGACGTGAAAGGCGCTCTAGAAATGCAATTTTGTTGTTGTTGCCTTAAAAAAAGGCTGAGAAAACCATCCAGTCTAATATCCAAAACAGATTTAAAACTAACCTCTAATGGGGTTGGGACTCCTTTATGACAATCAAAAGACCCCCAAATAATAAAAATAATAATAAAAACAAATTGGTCACTCAACCTACGACTGTTTGTGGGTCACTGCTGTGCGCAATTGGCTGACACATTTCACCTACAAAACAGTCAATTTACTTTATAGTATATTGTGTGAAAAACTTTGAGACGTCTCAAAGATGTGATAAGTCGCTATATCAAATAAAAGGATAATTATTATTATTCTGATTAAACATCTCAACTGATTCTGCTTCAATGGTCTTCTAGAGACAGAGCATTTTGTATTCTCATAATCCCTTGTGTGAAGAATTGTGGTCCACTCTCACACCTAACCCACTGACTGAGCCCCAGGTTTAAGCTAAAGTCCTGTTGTTTGGGAAGCCTATGGAGGAGTACCTTACCCAAATATCACATTTTCCGGGGAAGAAGCGCTCTGGAATGCGGGCTGCGTATAATCCAGCTCCGGTGATATACATTACAGCCATTAGATAAAACCATCCCATCTGGCCCACCGTGGTTGCTTTCACAAAGCCCTCGGCAATGGTGAAGTGTAGGGTGGGCACGATCCCACTCAGGCCAAGTCCCAGGAAAACTCCTAGAGAAGTTGTGAAAGTAAGCATGAATACACACAGCACACAGGCACTACCAAGCCCTAACATGTACACACACACACACATGGGCACTCAAAGACATTATATGGCACAAAAACAAGTGCAAGGATTATTATTATTGTGTGAACTGCCTCCCTAAATCCTTTGCTGGGGAAAAGTTCTTACCTGCTCGTGTCAGCCGGTGTTTGGGGGTTGCGAAACGATCCCACTGAGCCACAATGATGGCCGAGATTCCCAGAGCACAGACGATGGCGAGGTAGATGAGCCGAGGCTGAGGCGAACAGTAGAAGGAGTAATACAACCATGGCACAAAACTCCCCATGATCAGCAGTGCAATGCCAGAGTAGTCCAGCCTAGGAGCACAGAATAAACATCTGAGACACATACAACATAGGATACAGGACTGAGCCGGGGATTGGGATCAGGGGGGCTGGATGGCAGGGAGGGTAGGGGTAGGAGGGTGTCCGAAGGAGCAATTGAAGAATTGTGAACTAGAGCCATGGAGTTGAGGCCAGTGCTTCACCCATTGGGATGGGGAAGCCACCAACCAGTGAAAACAGTGACCCATTAGGGTGTGAAGGAGGGAGGGAGACACTGGTGGGGGTGGTGCGGAGGGGAAGGGAGCGAGTGAGACACCGTAGGATGGGGCTGGGGGGAGAAACCAGAGCTGTAAGTTCAATATGGAGGGTGATGAGTTCAGAGATGAGAACATTCACAAGTGAAGTCAAAGCATAAACACCATGGCGGAAATTGACATGCCAATGAAACAAGAGAATATGCCCATGAAGAAGGTGACAATTCTCACTGTCTAATTTCAAACCTTGTAAACCACACAGCAACAACAACAAAATTACATTTGTATAGCGCCTTTAACATCCCAAGACGCTGGACTGAGTTTCGGACCCGAGCTGGGGGTCGGGGCGGGGAGGGTGGGGGCAGGGGAGGAAGCAGGGAGATCGAAAGCACGGTCGAAGAGGAGGGTCTTGAGATGGGTCTTGAAGGTGGCTAGGGAGGGGGCGAGGCGGAGGGACTGTGGGATGGAGCTCCAGAGGGTGGGGGCACAGTGGGAAAAGGCCCGCCCGCCAATAGTGGGGCGAGCGAGGCGGAGGATGTGAAGCAGGCTGGAGCCCGCTGAGCGGAGGGAGCGAGCAGGATGGTAGGGGTCAGCAGGAGTCGACCAGACCAGCACTGATCACAGGGCAGCTCCCATGTGTGGAACATGGTCTGTCCAGCACCACCACTCACTCCCTCAATCTTTAATCTAATGTCCAATAGGACCTCGGCCATTCACCCCCATTGCCTCCCCCGCCACCTGCCCGTGCCACGGCTCCTATGTTATGCACTCACTTGGAGAATGTTCTGGATACTTTCTCGGAGTGGCAGTAGACGGTGTGGAAAAGCCAGGAGAAGCTGAGGCAGAGCACAGCTCCCAGGAAAAACATTCCAAACACCACCTTCTCCTGCAGCGGAGCCATGAAGTACACGTTGGGTCTCAGCATGGTCAGGATTCCCAGACACAGGAATAGCACGAAGCCTGAGAAAGAGCATTGATCAGTGCTGGGTTGACACCAGAACATTACTGCGACCACCCCAAACCTGGGCACCAGCCCCCCACTCTGTCAGAGGTACCAGCCGCCTCAACTACCAAGCCAAACCCCCTGGTACCACTCCCAACCTTATTCCAGCCTCCTCCACCCAGTGGGCACCACCCACACACTCAGCACCACATGTAACTCAAAACCATAGGCACCCACCAATTCCCACATTAATTATCTCCACCACTCCCTGTTACCTGACTCCTCCCTCGCTGTTCCTCCTCTCTCTCTCCATTATCTCTCTGTCTGCAATCAAGGTATCACCCTCATGCCCAACTGCCAGGCACCACCCCACACCTAACCCTAGCTCCGGGCTGCACAGTTACCGAGCAGATGTGTCCAGATGTTGCCGGTCTCGGTGTGGATTCTGAAGATGCTCTTGAAGCAGGCTCGGAATGATGGCATGGGGGGTCTGTGTCCATACAGGAGGTAGTCATTGTCCTTCAGCCAGTCTGGGAGCACGTCATAAGGAATGACTCGCCAACGCCCCTCCCACACCTAAGATAACAATTAGTCAGTGCCACAGCCAAAATCGGAACATACAGTCAATTCACTTTACGGTATATCCTGTGAAGCGCTTTAAGACGTCTCGAAGACATGATAAGGCTCTATATCAAATGCAAGGATTATTATTATTATTAATCTGAAAATGGGTAGAGAGAGAAATGTCTTAATTAATGGCAGGAACTTAGGGCTGATATTGTACACACTCCTACTCAAGTCACTGGCCTTACTGTACGGAGCAAGGTGAGGCAGTGACGTGCACGGAGTTGGCTCGCTCACCTGTTTGTTTTGTCACATCCTCACTAGGTGTCAGCCTCCACAAACAGGTGTTGTGAGATGCACAAATGTCCTGAAGAATATTTTCCTCCCTTCCTCTTTTTAACCAGAATAGTTTCCTGCCAGAAACCTAATATAGAATAGTGTACTAGGTGTGTGGGGCCTATGATCGTCACTTCCAGTGACAACCCTGAGCTAAAAGCATCTTCTTCCTCATTCACCATCCAGAGGAATAAACTTCCACGTAAGTTACCCCATCCCCTGTTACAGGTTGGACCAGTGGTCGTCTCATTTCTTCAAAGGACTGAGCTCAGGATCAAGATTAGAGGTTTCTCCACAGGCATCACTAGGCATATATACACATATATACATAGAAGGATATTTTGGTAGCATTCTTTTTATAGCAAACAGAGAAACAGAGAGATCAAGTGTGCAAGCTCTGTGAAAGAGCTATACCTTCACCACATCCTTTTAGATTTTTCTTTTCTAATTCCCTAATTACTATTTTAGACACGGTTATAGATTCTAATTCAATAAGGGTTTTGGTAGGAAATCACACATCCTAATAACCCTTTGTGTCACAAAAAATCTTCACTGGGAACTTGAATTAACTTCACTGACAGCAAGTACAGTGTATCTGCTGCCAGGGAGTGAGCAATACAGACAACAACCGTACCTTGTACACAAACTCCTCCATCTTCTCCATCGCATGATGAGCCTGAAGAGGAAGAGTGAGTATCCCCACCACTTCCTCCTCCTCCTCTTCCTCCTCATTCTGTGCCACCGAGTCTGTCTGCACTGAGACTCCCTGAAAACCAACAAACACAGTCATTGCAGCCACACAGCTGAGCAGCACCAAGGCCTGTTACTGGCAGTCAGCAAAGAAACTGCATCACTGCGCTCAATTTGGAAAATGTAAGTTGCAATATCACAGGGGGAAATCTGTGGCCCACACAATATTAATTACATGGAATAGGCCAGTCTGAGACCCCCACGTTCTCACTGCTTAAGACTGAGATGCTTTGGTTGTCAGCTTGGTTCAGTTGATAGCACTCTCATCTCTGGGTCAGGTGGTAGTGAGTCTAAACCCACAAAAGAGACTCCAGAGCAAATAGTTCATTACGTAACACAGGGAACAGAGCATGTGCAGGATTGCAATTGAAAGCTTTAGATGACAATTATAAGCCTCAGTATAGCTCATTTGGTAGTATTTGTGTCTCAGGTTTGTTTCGCCCACAAAACATAGTCAATTCACTTTACAGTATATTTTGTGAAGAGTTTTGAGACGTCTCGAAGACGTGATAAGGTGCTATATCAAATGCAAGGATTATTATTAAGCACTCTGAGACGCTACCCTGCGTAGATGGTGCCATATAAAGCGTAAGTTGTGGTTGTTATCGGAAGGGTGCAAGTTCAAGCCCCATATAAAGACATAAATTCATAATCCAGTCTAACACTCCATTCAGTACTAGGGGAATATGCCAGGTTAATCAGCCATTAACCTAATGGCCATTTGTGGGACCTTGCTGTGTGAAAAATGTTTGCCAACTAAAAGCAACAATTGACAATAATTACTGAAAAGTGCTACGAGACATTACAACGTGTTAAGCGGCTGCACAAATGCAAATTCCTGTTTTTTTCTTTAAAATGTCAGAGGTTTCTTGGCACTTTCTTAAACCCCAAAATTATTAACTTGACGGCCATCCCCTCCCTGGGGAAGCGGAATGCGTCAGTGCTCACAGAAGGTAACAAAAACAGAAATCACTGGGTATACTCAAAAGTATCAATGGAGAAAGGAAAGTGAGTCAAAGTCTCAGGTCCACGACCCTTCGTCAGAACTTACAGAAGGTGTCTTGCTACCAGCTGGCCCTTCAGATTTGCTCTCCAACAGAGGTCCCAGTTCAGTTAACTCCACTTGATTTCTCTGCTCAGTGTTGCTTGAAGTTCCACCACCGGCTTCCCGCGTTTCTTTCTGGGCAGACATGCCTCGTGCCCTCCGTTTGTTAGCCCGGCGAGAAGCTAAGGGGCAAACACCAGACATCACTCTGGGTTCCCACATGACAGAATTAGCATAGGAACAGGAGCCAATCAGCCTTTTCCACTCATTTAGATAATGGCAAATAACAACAACTTGCATTTGTATTGCGCCCCACGCGAAGGGTAGAGTCCCAGAGCGCTTGACAGTGGCGGAGCACGATCCCGAGGCGGGGGGAGGTGACCATAGGTACGGCTGAAGAAGAAGCTCTTCACGTGCAATCTGACGTTGGGGAAGGAAGGGATAGAGGAAGAGTGTTCCAGAGTTTTGGGGTGAAGTGCTGCCACCGATGGTAGAACAGAGGGCACGAGGGTCATGCAGGAGGCCGGAGCCAGTCGAGCGGAGGCAAAATCTTTTAATTAACTAAAATCTTTTAGTCCCATTTCCGAACATTTTCCCCATTTGCCTTACGTCGTTGCGAGGGGGGCCGGGGTGCGAGGGGGGCCGGGTTGCGAGGGGGGCCGGGTTGCGAGGGGGCCGGGTTGCGAGGGGGGCCGGGTTGCGAGGGGGCCGGGTTGCGAGGGGGGCCGGGTTGCGAGGGGGGCCGGGTTGCGAGGGGGCCGGGTTGCGAGGGGGGCCGGGTTGCGAGGGGGGCCGGGGTGCGAGGGGGCCGGGGTGCGAGGGGGGCCGGGGTGCGAGGGGGCCGGGGTGCGAGGGGGGCCGGGGTGCGAGGGGGGCCGGGTTGCGAGGGGGGCCGGGTTGCGAGGGGGCCGGGTTGCGAGGGGGCCGGGCTGCGAGGGGGCCGGGCTGCGAGGGGGGCCGGGCTGCGAGGGGGCCGGGCTGCTAGGGGGCCGGGCTGCTAGGGGGCCGGGTTGCTAGGGGGCCGGGTTGCTAGGGGGCCGGGTTGCTAGGGGCCGGGTTGCTAGGGGGCCGGGTTGCTAGGGGCCGGGTTGCTAGGGGGCCGGGTTGCTAGGGGGCCGGGTTGCTAGGGGGCCGGGTTGCTAGGGGGCCGGGTTGCTAGGGGGCCGGGTTGCTAGGGGGCTGGGTTGCTGTTTCCTCCTTTTTAAACATTCTGCACGTGACTTCTTGCCCCCGCGATGCCATTCCCCCCACCCCCCCCCCAACTGAATACTTTAACATCACACAAAATACAAATTGCCTTCACAACCAACTAAAAACTTTCTTCTATCAGGAATCATCCTGTCACTGCTGTAGTACTACACTATGCTCTTTTCTCTCCCCAGCACTTTCTCTGCTTTTCTCTGTGTTGAGCCTCTAAACTACCCATCCACGTAGTGAGGGATCAAACCCGCACTTGGTGGATGCCTCATGCCCTACTAGTGACTATCCTCCTAGGATATTGGGGAAGTGACATATTTGGCAACGTAATGTCAGAACCGAGCCACACCTCTGTGACGGTCTCTCGTCCTGTTCCTGAGCCAGGTGGGTACGCAGTATTCCAGGGCACTGCTGATGATAGTACAGCCAGTCTGGCTCATCGGCAGGACCTGGAAGGGCAGTCATTGGGGGCAGGGAGGCATCGCATTCAGCTCCTGTTAACTCTGCAAGCCAAAGCCCTAATGGAAAGGGTGGTCAAAGCTGGACAAGCAGCGGGAAAGCTTGCCAGCCAGCAATATCAATGCCAAACTATGATGTTTTAAGCTGGTTAGACTCCAGCAGTTATCCCAAACAACTGGGGTCCCCAAGCCTTGCCAAACTGTGCCTAATACATTCCAGAATTAGGTAAGCAGGGAGAGAGCGCGCATTCCATTCCAACAAGCTATCTCTGGGAATTCCAGGTGTAGGTGGAAATCTCCGCTTAGGTTTGGATACTCTTAAGCTTGGTGATGGGATTCTGCCTGTGTCAGAGATCCCACTGACTTTGTACTATATCTGACTCTAACCCCCACACTGTAAAAAAGTATAAAAATTTGCCTTTATGAGACAGGAAACAGGCAAAATCCTGCTTGTCTGTCTGCGAGAAGTTGGCACATGGGAGCAAGGATCATCAAATAAAATCAAGAATATGGAGACAAAAGAAAGAGTTTTACACTTCTTACTTTAGATTGTCCTGCAGGGTGTGCTCCCAAGTTATTCAACAGCCAGAGCCGATTTCACAAGCATCATCCAGACCAGACACTACAGAAAACCATCTAATGGAAGAAAGCTTTTAATTACACGGACAGGCATAATTAGGAGGTGGAGTCCAGGTGCCTTAAATCCAGCTAATTTTAGCCTTAAGAACATTGATTTAAGATAGATTGTGTAAAAAATTGTTGGCAAATTCTTATATACAGTTCTAATTTTAAAGCAGATTTCTCATTGTTCTTCTTAAGAGCTGAAGAAAGCTCCCAAATTAAGACTAAATTTGAGAATCTGCCAAAATCTTAAATAAGGCTAAAAGCGGGCATAATTTCAGGCCTCTGGAGGCAATAGACAGAGTTTGACACATTAAAAGGAAACTCCCTGATTGCCTGATCTAATCTTTCTCAATTGAGATGTTACTCTTTAACTCGTTGTCTTCCTTACGCCCATAGTTTATGCTCCCTTTGTATACACTACACACATATTTATTCCCCTCACCTTGTAACACTGTGAAACCTCTCGCTGTGAAGATATTTTGTTTAATATTCTACAAAGGTGAAATCTATTGAGCCGAATGGCACTTGTAACCCTCAAGACTGAGGTGGATAGATATTTGTTAGGTCAGGGGTATCAAGAGATATGGGGCAAGGGTAGGTAATTGGATTGGAGATACTGATCAGCTATAAGTTAGAATACATTAGAATATACAGCACAGAAACAGGCTACTCGGCCCAACTGGATTATGCCAGTGTTTATGCGCCACATGAGCCTCCTCCTGCCCTTCCTCAACTAAGTCATCAAGTATAACCTATTATTTTCTCCCTCATGTACCTATCCAGCTTTCCCTTAAATACATCTATGCTATTTGCCTCAACAACTCCTTGTGGCAGTATGTTCCACATTCCCTCTACTCTCTGTGTGAAGAAATTTCTTCTAACTTCCCTATTTGATCTATTTCTGACCATTTTATATTGATGGCCCTGGTTTTGGTCTCCCCCACAAGTGGAAACATCTTCCCTATGTCGACCCTATCCAAACCTTTCATCATTTTAAAGACCTCTATCAGGTCACCCCTTACCCTCTTTTCAAGAGAAGAGTCCAAGCACGTTCAGCCTTTCCTGATAGGGATAACCTCTCAGTTCTGGGATCATCCTCATGAATCTCCTTTGCACCCTCTCCAGGGCCTCTACACCCCTTCTATAATGTGGGGACCAGAACTGCACAGTATCTAAGTGTGGTCTAACCAAGATTCCATAGAGATTTATCATAACTTCCCTGCTTTTCATTTATATCCCCGAGAAATGAACCCCAATGCCTGGTTTGCTTTTTTTAATGGCCTTATTAACCCGGGTTGCTACTTTTAGTGAATTGTTATGTGTATAGAATGGCAAAACAGGCATGAATAGCTGGATGGCCTCAACCTGTTCCTATGTTCCCTCTCCACTCTTCATTTTGCCCACAAAAAATACAGTCAATTCACTCTATATAGTATATTCTGTGAAGCGCTTTGAGATGCCTCAAAGACCTGATAAGGTGCTGCATCAATTGCGAGGATGATTATTTTTGTTATTATTTCTCGCTCACTCCTCTCCCCCAATCACTTTCCTTTATCCCTGATCTCTCATCTCCACTCGGGCTCCATCAGCCTCAATTACAACCTTTTATCGCTGACCTCTCTCTTTTCTCCTCCCTTTTACCCTTTGTCACATCTCCCCCCGTCTCCCGGTTCCCCTCTACCTTCTCCCGCCGCTTGCTTACCACCTTGTGTGTGCCTGTGGGTGACGGGCCGGGTTTGCCGTGCGGTTACTCGGCGGCTGCTTCCCCTCACTCACCTCCAGCGGCCACAGCAAAACAACCAGCCCTGCACTTCCGGTTCACCGGCAGACCGGTTTCCGGTTTCAGGGCCGCGCATGCGCCGCCGCATTACATCACGATGTGCAGTGTCTTGCATGCACAAGCGACTGGGTCACCTGACATCCCGCGGCCGCCATCTTGGTAAAGGAGCCGATCGCTGGACATCCTCCTGCCGCCGCCATCTTAGTAAAGGAGCGGAAGGCTTGACACCCCCCTACAGAAGCCGTTTTGGTAAAGGAATCAGAATCCTTCTTTGTATCCAAAACATGTCAAATTTAGGTGTCAGGCTGGCAGACACCGCCACGCAGCCAGCGCAGAGCCTCGTCACAGGGGAAATCTCTTCTCTTTTCCAACATGGCCGTGGGATCGTCCACCTGAACAGGCAGTTCAATGTATGATCCGAAGGACGGCACCTCCAGCAACGCGGCTCTCCTCCCCAAACACACACCAGACTGAAGTGTCAGCCTAGACCGAGTTCAAATTCCCCAGATTGGACCTGAACCCACCACTTTCTGTGCCGGGTGATAACAATAATAATAATAATCCTTGCCTTTGATAAGGCACCTTATCACATTGTTGAGAAGGCTCACAGCGCTTCACAGGATATCCTGTAAAGTGGGTTCACTGTATATTTTGTGGGTGAAACACAGCAGCCAGCAAAGTCCCACATTTTAAAAGCATGTAGTGAGTGATATTTAATTTAGGATTAATTGGAAAAATTACCAGAAGAAACTCCCTTCTCTTTTTGAATAATACCATGGGATCTTTGACGTCCACCTGAACAGGCAGACAAGACCTCGGGTCAACGTCTCAGCCGAAGACGGCACCTCTGACAATGCAACACTCCTTGGAGCAGCAGCTACGTGATTCCTAGAATGATTATTAGAATGCGCCTGACTAACATCTAATATACTGAATTTGCCTCATCCACAAAATAATCACATTATTTGGATATGCATCTCAATGTTGTTTGTCCAGGATTGCTAGCCCATCTTAAATGTTTTGTTTGTCTAGCAAAATAATTAATTGTAAATTATTTTCATTTTGTGCTTTATTTCTCTTTGAAATGCCGATTGCCTCGCTTGCCTGTAATTTGCTGTTCACTTCCAATACTTTTTAGTTGTCCAAATCCAATCTGCGAGAGAGTTTAATCAAAATAATAATCCCTGCATTTGATATAGCACCTTACCTTGTGGAGTCCTGTAGCTCAGTGGTTAGAGCACTCGCTTTGCAAGTGAGAGACCTGAGTTCAATTCCAATTCACAGAATATGCTGTAAAGTGAATTGACTGCATATTTTGTGGGCGAAACACGGCAGCCAATTGCATATTGAACTGAATTGACTGATTATGGTTTCGGGGGCAACAATATTGTTGGCATTGTATCAAATGTAAGGATTCAGCAAAGTAGCATCATATCTAGTTATTATTTGTCCAAAAAAAGGACATCGCCCACAGGATCCAACATCCACTTTTCTGAACTAAAAGATTTAGCCAAATTGTTTAGCCATATGAAAAATAAATGACCCTCTATTACAACCCTGATTAATAAGTATGTTCTGATTAAATTATAGTAACTTTTCAATAAAGTTTCCAATTCTGGCTCACAGATGATTTTCGTAAAGTTGAATTGATTTTAAACAATTAATATCCTCTCAGTTTGAAGGTGTTTTTTATATTAAAAATAATATTGCAAAATTATTATAATAATCATCCTTGCATTTGATGTAGCTCCTCTCACATTGAGAGGACTTATCAGTGTTTAGTGATGGTTTATTTTGAAGACAAACACAGCAGCAAATTGCACGCAGCAGTGACTAAAGTATGTGTGCACGTTTGCATTAGAGGAAAGGACAGGCGGGAGTTGGAAGAGCCATTAATTCTTAAACAATAAGGTTNAAAAAAAACTGAGATTTTCATTAAGTTTTATTTGTCGTCATTCATACCCTATTAGGAACACGGAATTTTCCAAAGAATTTACCATGATATTTCAAATCATATGGACTGAGGGCTTTGCGAATGCCCTGCATGTTCATGACTGCGATTCTTTCAAACGTCCAGGGATTCTGGTTATTTTCAGCTTTCTCCTGCTCTTCCTGGATCATCTTCTCCAGGGACTCCTTGCAAACAGCCTTTGCAGGAAATGGCAGCTTCTTCGCTACTTCGGACAGGAAGGGCTCCACCTCCCCAAACTCGCACATTCCACCAACCTCCAGTATAATGCGGCCATATTTGACTGGAGTGACATAGTGGTCGATGGCTCCTTTCCCACCACCCATCCTCTGCCCCAGACCTTTCCGGGTGATGGGTTTGAATGGAGCATTTACACGCCAGCGGGCAAACATGGTTTTAGCATCCATGCGGCGGTTAATAGTGAGACGCATCATCTCAAAGTGACCCCAATGAAGGTAGCCACCCCCAAGTGCCTAGAGAGAAAGAATTTCACTTGTCATGTTGATTTTACACAAAAGAAAGCGGATACAGATGTCAATTTACATCGGTCTATATTGTCTCCCCATGAGCCTGTTGGAAACATCAATTCTGCCCATTCATCTTAGCCTGGCACCTCCATTCATAGAATCATAGAATTATACAGCACAGAAGGAGGCCATTCGGCCCACCATGTCTGTGCCGGCTCTTTGAAAAGAGCTTCCAAATCAACCCCACTCCCCTGCTCTCTCCCCATAGCCCTGCAAACTTGTCCTCCCCAAATAATTATCTACTTCGCTCTTAAAGGTTGTTATCGAATCGGCTTCCATCAGCCTTTCAGGTAATGCATTCCAGATCCAAACAACTCGCTGTGTGAAAACATTTCTCATATCTACCCATAAGCAGAAAACAGATACTTATTGGGTACAATCTTTATTAAAATCACCTTGACCCACCATGGTGCACCAAGAACTATAATTCACATAACTCTGTTGTTTATGTGTATAAGATTGAGTTCCCTTTTTGAATATCTGTCACATTTAACAGTGAACTAACTCACTGACAAAATAGGGAAGAGCTCCTACGCTAACCATGTGGAGACTGATCCTGTTCTAACTCTTGCTGAGTAAATCTGTTAGTGCAGGTTTACTAACTACAATTGGGTCCATAGTCTTCTCTGCCTTGTGCACTGCTCAGAAGTCTTAAGAAAATCAAAGTATTACACCACAGAAACATCAGGAATACAATGGTGTTTTGCTCCAAATCTAATATCTCTTCCTTGATTTCCACCAAAAAAAAATTCAAGCATCTAAGTCATTTCCTTTTAAAAGAAGGTATGGGCTACACTTCAACAAAAATTGTATTCAACAACTTGTATTTATTTAACGCCTTTCACGCAGGATAACAACAACAACAACAACAAGATTCCATTTATTGAGCGCCTTTCACGTCGGGAGGACGTCCCAAGGCGCTGTACAGTTGGGTCAGGACCCGAGCATTGGGGGGGGAATGGTCAGGGTGAGGGGGGGAAGGGAGGGAGCGAGAGGGGGTAGAGAGTCGAGAGGGGAGGTGAAGGCACGGTCAAAGAGAAAGGTCTTGAGACCGGCCTTGAAGGAGGAAAGGGAGGAAGCGGCGAAGGCACTGGGGATAGAGTTCCAGAGCCTGGGGGCTGAGAGGCTGAAGGCCCGGCCACCGATGGTGGGGCGGTTGGGGCGGGGGATGTGGAGCAGACCGGAGCCAGCGGAAAGGAGGGTACGGGCAGGTAGGTAGGGGGCTAGTAGGTCAGAGAGGTGGGAGGGAGCGAGGCCGTGGATGGCCTTGTAGGTGGGGATGAGGATCTTGAATTCGATCCTCTGGGGGATGGGGAGCCAGTGGAGGCGAGCGAGGGTGGGAGTAATGTGGTCCCGAAGCCTGGTGCGGGTCAGTACATGAGCTGCAGAGTTCGGCAGTGTGGAGGGAGTGTGGAGGGAGGGCCGGGAAGGCCGGCGAGGAGAGAGTTCCTATAGTCCAGCCTTGAGGTGATGAAGGCGTGGACCAGAGTTTCAGCCGCGTGAGGGGTGAGGTAGTGCCGTAGTCTGGCGACATTCCGGAGGTGATGGAAGGCGGTGCCAGTTGTGGCGCGGATATGAGGGAGAAAGGACAGCTCAGGGTCGAACAGAACCCCGAGGTTCCTGACTGGTTTTGAGAGGTGGAGAGTGCAGCCTTGGATGCTGATGCTGTCAGCGCCTGAGGTGCGGAGGCACTGACGTGAGCCAATCAGGAGGGCCTCAGTTTTGCGCACGTTGAGCTGGAGAAGGTTATCTCTCGTCCAGGACTCAGAGAGTCCTCCTCGGAGAGCTTCACAATGGTGAGATAATGAGCAAGGGGAAAGGGGTGGTGCCAATAAAAACAGTAAAAGAGGTTTTACAGTGGAATTTACAGACAACTTGCATTTATATAGCACCCCTCACACAGGGTAGCATCCCAGAGGGCTTGACAAATACACAGTGCAAGGCGAAGGTATAGAGGAAGGGAGTTGCGGAGGTTAAAAATATAGTGACCAAAGGGCCAGACCCAGATTTATAGTAGAGATTCCACAATCCTGTGTAGAGATTTGTTCCGATCATCCGAAGGACGACACCGCACACAATGCAACACTGCAGCGCTGCACTGGTGTATCAGCCTGGACTGATTCCAAGTCCTGAAGTGGGGCTTGAACCCACACCTTCTGACTCAATGGAGGGAGTGCTGCCACTGAGCCAAGCTGACACACAGTTCCTGTTAGGCAGGACCGACCGGCTGAGCCTTTGATCAAAACCAGATGCCAACACTACTAACAGTAGCAGCATACAGGGAAATTCAGTGAAACTGCTGCCTCACATAAAATAAAGGAACTATATGCTATATGTGAGCTGAATCTCTGCTCAGCCACACCATTGCAGCACCCTGTCCCACTGCATCCGTTGGTGAAAGATTAGTAGTCACAAACACCTACCACAATGCCATACTGGCCCCTGGTGATGGTAACAGCTCGCAATGCAGGCCCCCGGATGTCACAAAGCCTCTTCATCCATTTCTTGGGTTTCTTGTAATTTGGAACTTTATTGATGAATTTCAGTTTGGGTTTCTCTGGAATTATCACATCTACAAGAGTAGGAAATACACATTACTGCAGCACAGGAAAGACTTATACATCATAATGTGTAAGAAGATAGAAACACTCCCATTTTCTATAGGCTCTGGAGGGGGTTCCAGCACAGATACACCAGAAATACCAGGGCTTAAAGGGTTAAATTATGAGGCCAGGCTGCATAAACTTGGTCTCTATTCCCTTGAGCTTAGAAGATTGAGGGATGATCTAATTGAGGTTTGTAAAATAATAAAAGGATTCGATAGGGTAGCTACAGAGAAACTATTTCCTCTGCTGGGTGGAGGGAATCCAGAACAAGGGGGCAGAAATTAAAATTAGAGCTAGGCCATTGATGAGTGAAGTCAGGAGGCAGTGTTTCACCCAAAGGGTTGTGGAAATCTGGAACTCGCTCCCCCAAACGGCTGTGGATCCTTGATCCTTTCACATTTTCAAGACTGAGCTGGATAGATATTTCTTAGATCAGGGTATCAAGGTATATGGGGCCAGAGCAGGTAATTGGAGTTGAGTTACAGATCACCCATGATCTTATAGAATGGCCTCCTTCTGTTCCTACGTTACTATACTCAAGCACTCCCTGGTCAGGTAAAGGTTAGTTTTGTCTGAAGTCCAACCTCAGAACAATGTGCACAGGTACCAAATGTGAAAGATTATTTGGCCCGAACAGCACATCCCACAATCCACTATCTGCTGGAGTAAGGTTCTAAATATATACCTTCTGAACCCAAACTCCAAATTATTCCTCCATCCCCATTATTCCATCCAGCCCTTGTTTCCTTTAAAAATAACTGTTCTTCCCCTTCCTGTCTCCCTCTGAACAATGTAGAACCTATTGTGTCCTATGGAGTGTTTGGTCACCTGAAACTTCAGTATCCTTCATTCAGATACTAATTCAGCTCTTTTTGAAGCAGTCACCAATAAAGCCTGGGCTGTTCCACAATCCTCTTGTCCTGATAAAAGCTTTGAGCGTTAAAACTTGTTCTGCTCCCATGGCCTATGACAATTTCTAACTCAGTTTTAACTTTAGCACTTCCCTTGAATTTTTGCAAGTTTTCTTTTGTCTGTCAATGTAAATATAAAGCACCTGAGCCAATATGCATCACTAAAACAACCTCAGCCCCTAAAAAAAATTCAATCCATTTGTACTTCTTGCGTTTCGTACGTTGCTGACAAACATTCTAAATATTAAATACCAGTTATCATTATCAATTTCCAGGTTATCATCCCTTTTTCAATTGAGCTGTTAATTTAAATCACCTCCATTTTATAATTCAATATATTAAGGAATTTTATTCCTTCTTTCAAAGAAAAGTAGTTTTCTTGTGGCTACCATTCCCCCTCATCCAAATTGACCACTTGGCTACTGATCTCATTGTTGTCAATAAAATGTTACTGGCTCAAGATCAACTGCTGCGTTTGCCTTCTTAATAACAATGATTTAATTTCTAATTAATCTCATTCTGTAAAGGGGTACAAAATGTTTGGCTTTTATGTGAAAAGTGCTATATAACAACAACAACAACAACAAGATTCCATTTATAGAGCGCCTTTCACGTCAGGAGGACGTCCCAAGGCGCTGCACAGTTGGGTCATGACCCGAGCAGGGGGGAAATGGTCAGGGTGAGGGGAGGGAAGGGAGGGAGAGAGGAGGGGGAAATGGTCAGGGTGAGGGAGGGAAGGGAGGGAGCGAGGAGGAGGAAGAGAGTCGAGAGGGGAGCTGAAGGCACGGTCAAAGAAAGGTTTTGAGACCGGCCTGAAGGAGGAAAGGGAGGAAGCAAGCGAAGGCAATGGGGGATGGAGTTCCAGAGCCTCGGGGCTGAGAGGCTGAAGGCCCGACCACCGATAGTAGGGCGGTTGGGGCGGGGGACGTGGAGCAGACCGGAGCCAGAGGAACGGAGGGTACGGGCAGGTAGGTAGGGGGATAGTAGGTTGGAGAGGTAGGAGGGAGCAAGGCCGTGAATGGCCTTGTAGGTGAGGATGAGGATCTTGAAATCAATCCTCTGGGGGATGGGGAGCCAGTGGAGGCGAGCGAGGGTGGGAGTGATGTGGTCCCGAAGCCTGGTGCGGGACAGTACACGAGCTGCAGAGTTCTGAATGACCTGCAGCTTGTGGAGGGAGGTGGCGGGAAGGCCGGCGAGGAGAGAGTTCCCATAGTCCAGCCTTGAGGTATATAAATGTAAGTTGTTCTTGCCCACTAAAGCCATTAGGAATGTGGCAATGAATTGTCCTACTCACCATTATAACTGGGAGGATGTGGATAAATCTTTAGTCCTGCAGCCAAAATCTTTGCATAATTCTGATTTGGACCTTTAATGAAAGTAGACAAACCAAGTTATACATGATAGCATTTCATTGTGTTCACATTGATTATACCGTTCACAGCAGACACCGGATGTTTGTACAAAAGAGAACTCAGATGTTCCCTTGAAACAACAAGAATGAAGGTCATGCAAATCTGCTCGGGGGAGAAGTTAACCTCACAAGTCTTGACCAAAGCTCTGTTGATGAGTTTTGTAACTTGAGGATATAGGACACATAGAAATCGATGGGAACCAGATCCACATGTAAGGCAGACAACTTTGACATCTATAACCCTAGCATTTCACATAACGCCTTATCATGTCTTGTAGAAGTCTGAAAACGCTTCACAGAATATACACAGAATACCAGTCTCTCAATCCAATAAATATTTGGTCACTTAATCCGCAGCTGTCTGTGGGATACTGCTGTGCGCAATTGGCTGCCACGTTTACCCACAAAATACAGTCTTAGATGTTTGATATTTTTTAAAAAGGTGTGGGGGAGAAATCAAGGAAGAGATATTAGATTTGGAGCAAAACACCATTGGGCTCTACAAGATGTGTGAGGAACACATCCTGTAGCAGCATTCTATACGGGTCAGAACGCCCGTGAATTCC